CGGCCTCCTCGCTGCTTACGATGTGAGCGGCGGTAAAGAGGGCGGCTACACTGTCCTGCTGGACAAGGCCGTTGAACTCGCCGAAATCTTGATGGGCATTTTCGACACCCCCAATCGCATGCCTATCTTGTACTACAACTGGATGCCCGAGTATGCTTCCCAGCCACACCGAGCTACGACCGTTGGCGTGGCCGAACTGGGCTCGCTAAGCATGGAGTTCACACGCCTTGCCCAATTGACCGGTAAAGACAAGTACTACGATGCCATCGCTAGAATTACCGACGCTTTCGAGGACCTCCAGAACCGTGGCACTACTATTGATGGCATCTTCCCTGAACAGCTGGACGCCTCTGGCTGCAACAGGACCGCTGAAGCCATTATTTACCAAGAGGAACAAGCTGCAGCTGCTAGTGCGAGTGCGGCCGCTGCTCGGTTGAGCGAGCCCCAGGGCCACGAGCCTGCGGCTGCTGAGGCCAAGCGCGACGAGACTGATCCGATTTTGCCGCAGGAAACTGCTGTGGCCAAGGGCAACGGCAGTGAGCCGGAAAGCAACACACTCGCGAGGCGGGCTGTTGGTGTCGACAAGAATGGCGAGTCTGTGGTTGAGAATGCAAACATCGATAACAAGCAGGCTTTCCCGGCACCCAAGGTCAACGAACAGCCCTTGTACCCCGGTAACAGTGGTCGGAGGCCATCAACTCCTACGACACCTGACAAATCTTCATGGGAATGCATCAAGCAAGGGCTTGCCCCTGGTGGTTGGGGATACCAGCAGTATAGCATGGGTGGTAGCCAAGATTCCACCTACGAATATTTCCCCAAGGTTAGTTCACCTTGAGGAGTTGTACTGGAAAAGAAACTAACTCGCGTAGGAATATCTCGTCCTTGGCGGTCTGGAGCAAAAGTACAAGACGATGCACATCAAGACGGTCGAGGCTGTGAAGAAGTGGCTTCTCTACAGGCCTATGGTTCCCAAAGAAAGGGATATCCTCTTCTCGGCCAAGGTTTCGACATCTGGCGACCCCGAAAACGATCTGCGAACTGAGTATGAAGTTACTCACCTCACCTGCTTCATTGGTGGCATGTTTGGTCTGGGAGGCAAGATTTTTGACAGACCCGATGATATTGAGATCGCCAAGAAGCTCACTGACGGATGCGTCTGGGCGTACGAGACTATGCCCTCCGGTATCATGCCTGAAGGAGCCTCTGTCGTGCCCTGCGCGTCTACCAAGAGCTGCCCGTGGAACGAGACTCTCTGGTGGGAGCACCTCGACCCGTCAGCTGACTGGCGTGAGGCACAGGTCAAGGCGTGGGAGGACAGGCAACGTGAGAAGAAGCAGCAAAAGCAGCAGGACGCTCTCCGTAAGCAAACCACTGAACGAGGCAACAAGCCTGTTGAGAAGTCAACCGAAGAGACAGTCCAGTCTGAGTCACCCGTCGAAAAGAAGGACCCCCTCGACGATATTCACGTCCCCAAGGATGAGCCGAAGAAGCTAGGATCGGCTGAGAAAACCGAGTACCCGGCTCCTGAGCCTGGCCTGAACAAGTCCCCTTCCAACGTTGATGAGCACCTTTTGAAGAAGAGAGATCCTGCTCCGCCAGTGTCTCAAGACCCTCGTAAGGGTACTGCTCAGGAGGCCGCCAGCAACACTCTGAAGGACAAGCTCGACCTGAACAACCCTGGAAGTGCCACCGACGATATCACCGGCAGTGTCCCCAACGATGCACCCGTCAGCGGTGGCATCGTGGGCAAGATTGCGTTCGAGGAGGAGGGAGAGGTTCCCGATCCGAAGCCGCTCTCGCATGAGGAGTGGGTCAAAGACAAGTTAGAGCTCGAGAAGATCCCGCCTGGCTTCGTCAACATCAACGCCAGGCGCTACATTCTTCGGTAAGCTATCACTGATCCTCGTTCAAGATTTGAGCATGGCTAACACTCCTACAGTCCGGAGGCTATCGAGTCCGTGTGGTACATGTATCGCATCACTGGAGACCCTGTATGGCAAGAAAAGGGATGGAAAATGTGGGAGGCCATCATCAAGGCGACTCGTACCGAGCACGGCAATAGCGCCATCGACGACGTCCTGTCTGAAGATCCTCAACCTGTGGACGAGATGGAGAGCTTCTGGATCGCCGAGACGCTGAAGTACTTTTACCTCTTGTTCTCAACTCCCGATGTCGTCAGCTTAGACGACTGGGTCCTCAACACCGAGGCGCATCCGTTCAAGCGTCCTGTTTGAGGCGGGATGAAGGTGTGAATTCGAGTGTGTGTGTACGAGGGCAAGGTGCAGAGAGCATGACTTTTTGGCATAAGATATCACGGGTGGTGGCTACCATGGCGTTGCGGCGTGCTTGTGTTGATTTGCGTTGCACGATTTGCTGGGGCTAAGGATTGTTCATTGTATAAAGTTAAAAAAAGGTCTGCTAGCCGAATGCTAGTCTGCAGCATAATGATGAGCGATGAGAGTGGCCAAGCCTGCCTTGCTCTATCTACCTAAACTTACCCTCTGATGAAGAAAAAAATCGTTGACGCTACTCAACGAGATTGTATTTCCCACTACACAGCCCCTCCCTCCTATCCTCGTCACAGGGTCTCTCAAACACGATGCAAGGGCCACATGAGTCAGTTGCCATGTCACTTCATTCTCTTGGACGTAAGTAGTACGCTTTGTGGTTTGTTTGTCATGTTCAATTTCATTTCCATTTCGTCTTATCTGTGTCGTCTCTTCGAGGACGCCTTTGCTCATCGTCATCTACAGCGGATGACATACTCCTACACATTTCCCATTTCCCATGCGTCCGACTTCGTTTCCCCCATTTTCCTCCTTTCGTATTGCTCGGTGTTGTTTCATCTCCATTGCGAGCATGCTGCGTCATCCACTGCTCTTAGAGAAGAGAAGGAGCTCATCTATATTCGTCTTTGCTCGCGTGAGCAAACCAACATTAAAAATGACGAGGGGTTCTTTGTGGCAAGACTTCGAAATGTCTTGCCGCCCCATGCCGGCCCAGGATGAAAGCCAGAAAGAGAGGAAAATCAAAAACGCAAAACTCGATATACAACGCCGATGTCCCAGATGCTGATGGTTTTTTTGTGCTGGACGATGAATGTGCTGATGGCGGCAGGGGTTCAAATGATGTCCCCTCCTCGAGAAGCCCTCCATGTACAAGTTTTCCCCTTCGACTCTTGCTTGGGACTCTGTTGTTCGTCTTCTTCACACATGTATCGTCGTCAAATCTTTCGTCTCATTCAATCTTCTCCGTCGTCGGCCCCTTAGTCAACCATCTGGCTCAGAACGCGAATGCTGAGAATCATGACCAACAAGCCGATGGTGACGATGATGAGCAAGGTGAAGCTGAACCAACCGAGGACCATGGCGGAAGTACCGACACCAGAGCGGACAGCGCCGTTACCGAAGTCTTGGGCGATGATCGACGCGGCGACGGATGCGGTGTGCTGCCATAGCACAGAAACCAGCACGAAGATGGAGGCGATGAAGATGATGGCCAGCGAAATCTGGGAAACGGGACGCGAGGGGAAGGGCTTGACTTCGCGGTCGGAACCCTCGGAGTCCTCCTCCTCGTGCCAACCCGGGAAGGTGGCGAGCAGAAGGAAGCAGACGAAGGCGAAGATGATGGCAATGATGCTGAGAAACTATCAGTATCTACTCTGTGCTGAAAGGTCGGGTGGGTCAACTCACATGAGATAGGGGAAGACAATCATATCCTTGAACTGAGCGGCAAGCCAAATCAGGTTCAGAGGGTCCTGATCGACCGACACCTCGTTGGCGAGAGCGGTGGCATTGTTGCTGCAAAGCCAACTGCCTCCATCCGGGCTGATGCAGATACCAAAGTATCCAACGCGGCAGGCAAGGCGGGCGTCACCAGCAATGTTCTCAATAGCGGTGTGGACGTTGTAATCAACTTGGGCTGTAGAAGGAACTGCCGTGTAATGGTCATAGTACAGCGACAAGAGGAAGATGTCGGGGATCAGAGGTGATGATGACGAGCAGCCTGCCAAAAGTAGAGCTACGAAGGACGTTAGGATGTGGTTCATGAGGTCGTATGGCAGGTCTGAGAAACTCACATAAAAGGATGATGGCGACTGCAATCAAGATCATCAAGACATGGTGGTATCCTAGGAATGGCACGAACCCTGTGATGGCGCAATGTTAGCCGGGGCTCTGGTCTTTGAGCTTTGCAGGGAGATAAGCTGGGATAACTCACGATACCAGCCTACTTGGAATTTCGGCATTTTGAATGTGTAATATTACTCCAGTCCTCGAGAGGAATGGCTCTCTTGTTGGTGACCCACGCCGTCCTCCGTTGTAGCGGAGCGACGGAGGGGTTCTAGTCCTGGCACCTCAGCGCTGGCACGCTTGGTGTCTTTCCCTATCGTCGGCGGGAGGTGATCGCGCGAGCGGGGAGGGAATGCGGAGCGAGGGAAACTCGTGGGTCGATGGAATGTAGACGATAAGGTTGCTTGGTTCTGGTTGAAGAATCGTGGGTAGTGGGTTGCTGGAGAACACCGCGAGGAATGCGGGACGGTGTCGGAACCTGCGATTAGAGTGAAGCCTTTCCGATTACTGTCAGACGCAAAAACAGACTTCCACTTTTGATACTTCTTGAGTTGAATGCAAAAGTGAGAGAGTGTGTAAAGGTGTCAAAGTGAAAGTGCGGGTCGAGTCTTCGAAGGGTGGGAAAAGAAGTGGTTTGATGCAGATGCAGGTGCGGATATTGAGATGGCTGGGAGAGGAGAGAAGGAGGGTTGGAAGGGTGAACTTAGTTTTGTCTCTCTGCCTGACGATGATCCAGAAGCAGAATTGAAAGCGGGAAGCCCGCAGGTTCGGGGCGAGCGGGAGAGGTTTGTACGTCTGCAGAATGAAATATTCAGATGGCTGGGAGGGAAGAAAAAGGTCGATGGATGTATGGATGGATGTTCTGGAGACTGGAGAAGAGGAGCAGTGACAAGTTTGGTAAAAAGAGACGTCGACGAGGATGCGCAATTGGTCCTGCCATCCACTTTTTGGTCAAAAAGGCTGTGCGGCGGTTGCGATGCTTGGTGTCTAGGTCACTAGGAAGAGCATCCGTACGTTAGAAGGAAGCTACGTAGCTACGCCAACCTCCTCTATTTACTCTTGGTACTGCGGCCGTTGTCCGGGCGATTCGCAGCGTCGCAGCGGTTCCTGGGCGAGCAGGGCGGAAGAGTGGAGCCACACCTTTAAGAGGTCCGGTACGTACCCGCTAGAGTTGTCTGGGGGAGGCCCCTTCGCTGCGTATTCTGTGGCTTTTAGTGGCTTTGGTGGGAAAAGAACGGGTCCCACCAGCGCGGGAAACAGGCCTGAGAGGTTCGAAAAAAAGCCCGGTGGCTGGGTGACGTCTTTTCAGGGGTCCCCCGTCCCGTGTCCCCCGTCAAATCTAAGGCCGCATCTTTAGCCCAAACCTCTGCGCGTGTCTGTCTACCTTAGCCTCGTCAGGTCCTACCAATTCTCAGCTTCTCTTTTACCTTATCCAGTTATGATCTTAGCTGCTTAGCTGAGCTCCAAGCAGAGCAACACGCATACTCCAAAAGTCCAGAGCTCTCTTCAAAGACCCCTTGTCGAAACTTCCTTAAGTGGGCTGTTCTAACGCTCGCGCTTCCTCTTGTATCTCGCGGCTTTCCCTGTTTGTCCTTCGCTTGCCTCAAGCTTGCCCCTCGCCATACCCAATCCAACAGGCACACGACTCGACTCGAGACGGCAGCTCGGCGGTTCCTGCATTGGAGATGAGACCCGAAGCCGGGGTCCGGCACATCGCGTTGGTTCCTTGATTTTGTCCATTCGCTCGTGTCGAGTCTTGGTGATGCGTTGTTACGGCGCACCAAAACTCCGTACGAAGTACGGCTTCTAGCCCTTTGCCTCAGTTGGCATGGCGACAGCATGAGAAACACAAAGTCCCGGATGACAGCCAAGAATCATCCTCGGGTTCTTTACGGATACAATCACTCGGCGCCCTGCCACATTCCTACACCGGTCAGCTCGCCTGCTCTCTTATACAACAGCTGAGGCTATTCGCAGTCGAACTCCCCTGCTCTGCGGATACATCTACTGCAGGAACCCCAGGCGGCTCCGTGTTTCCCATCAAGACCCATCGACTTCTCACCCCCACCATGCAAAGTCCCATCTTCTTCGCCTCTGCAGCGGTAAGCTACACCAACACACCGCTCGATTTGGCGGTCAATCTCACTCTTCAGCTCGGAATCGTCAGCCTATGAATTACAATCCTCTTGTGGCTGCAAGACTGTCATTTAGACACCTGTCACGGCTGTCGAGTGTCAGCCATTCCTCCTGTCTCTGTCTCTCTCACGGGTCCGCATTGACCGTCTTCGCCGCCGGATGTTAGCGCCGTCTGCCTGCGGTGCCCGAGTTGCCGGAAATGCGCAGATCACGGGAGTCTATGTGTTTGCCTTCGCCCAGCGCAGCTACTATCAACACTGCCATCCTTGGGGAGACTTTCTTCGACGGCGTTGGAAAACTGTCATCATCTGGATCTGTTCGCGAAGGAACACGCCTGGCAAGCCATTGACGCAATCTATATGCGATTTCGCCTGCCTCGTCGAGCCAGTCACCGATTACACGGACTGAACGCCAGACGGTTGTTCTCAGAGAAGGAATCACATCCTCTTAAGAATTGCCAGCGAATAACCCGTGATGACTCACTGACAACATGGTCAAGCCTCGCAGTACTCCGTAATCCCTTGATGATGACAGGTATCTCAGCCACACGAGAAGTCCTGAATTGGTCGCTTTACTCGGGAACCGCAGAAGCCGGCCTCCGGCCTCGTCGACCCTGAATAATATGTGGCTGGTAAACAGAGGTCATTGCGCCATGGCCAAGACTCAGATGCATCCATTGCTTGAGTCGGTGCCCTGTTATCCGAAAGACCACAACGTCGATGGGTTCCCCAATGATCTTGACATTCAACATGAAAGAATTTCCTAGTTCATGTGAGAATCGCAAGACGCTCATTGATATCCATAAACTACACAGCAGCGATTCCCAATCATGTATGGATACGTGCATATACCAGATTAGGTAGCCGTCATGGTGTCGCCAAATATGCCTCTACCATGCAGAAACTCCGTATCCGTGTAGTTGCATGTGCCCCACCACTTGCTGGCCTCCCTCAGCTCCACGTCATTGTTCAGACCACAGTCGCAAAGTGAAGGTTCAAGAATGACACTTGGTGCGCAAACAGCCGCAACAAAGACTGGCCCGACATGAGCACGACGTTTGGAGACCGCGCTCAGGCGGGCGCTCTGGATATTCGCGTCGAAGATTTCCTCGACGACAAGCTTCAGTCCACCACCGATCTCGAGAACCTCGACTCCCTCATCGCCAACGTGGAGGTCCAGCGCAGCCAGCTCCAGACCCAGCTCGACAACGCCATCAAACAGCTCGACGAAGCTCGCCAGACAGCTGGCGACCGCCAATCCTCCCTCGCACAGCGTATCCAAGACTTCCAGGAGCTCCAGCACAGCATCGATGTCCGAGTCAAAATAGCGGCCGCATCCGACGCCCCGAACCAGGCCATCGCAAGGCTGCAACAACCTATGAAGAAGCTGCAGACAATCGAACTTGCCCAGAAGTACCTGACGCTGCTACAAGACGTCGAGAACCTGCGGACCGAAGCTCGCTCGCACCTCCCCGACAGCCCAAAGGCCGCTTTGGAGCCGTACTCGAAGCTCAAGCAATTGTCGAGGCGCCTGGAGGAACTCTCAGGGCCGGCTGATGATGCGGCAGTACATCTCGTCAATCACGTACGGAGTGTTGCCGATGCGCTGTGGGACGAGATGAAGAAGACAATGTCCAGCGAGCTGGAGACTGTTCTCAGCAAGAGGTCATGGCCCATGGTGGAACCTAGCTCTGAAATGGACGACGAGTGGCTCGCCTGCTTTGAAAAGTTGCTGGACCTTCAGATTCCCGAGGTCATCCTGAGCAAGTCCACCGTCAGCCTTCTCTCGTTCGATGTCATGTCACGAATCTTCATCTCTGAGTTCCGCTTCCACTTTCTCAGCGACAAGCCGACGAGCAAACCCGATGCCATTGGATCGCACTGCTTCCCCTGGTTCTTGGCAACCATTGAAAAATGGGAAGACTTCTACAGAGACAACTTGGGTTACCTGCTGGCTGCCAAGTTCCGCGATACCTCCGCGGGTAACAGTCTAGTATACGTTGATCCGGTCTGTGCTTTCATCACCAGCATGCTGCCCGTCATGAGAAAGAAGGTCCAGAATGTGGTTGCCGAAACGGCCAAGAACCCTGCCTTCTTGAGCAGCTTCATGGGGCAGTTGATGACATTCGATGAGAGTATTCGGACAAAGTTCAACTATGACGGCGGGGATCCAGACCAAGGTTGGCCCGGCCTGGCCACTGAGGTCTTGGAGCAGTGGTTCGAGCCTTGGTTCCAGGCAGAAAAGGAGTTTGCTCTCGAGCGCTTTCAAGCCATCATGGATAGCTCCGATGCACGAAACATCGACTACGATTACGCTATAACGGGAAAGACAAAGCCGACTTTCGGTGCAGTGCGCGTCACTGACTTGTTGAGGTCTATTACAACCCAATATGAGAGAGTACGCGCCTTCAAGCACAAGATTCGGTTCTTGATTGGAATTCAACTCGATATTCTCGACGAGTTCCATGACCGTCTGCGTGGCTCTCTCGAGGCCTATCAAGCTCTCACATCGACAGTCGGCAGGACTTTGCACGGTGTCACGAAAGAACAGCTTGCGGCTCTCGAAGGCACCGGTAGTTTCGAGTCTCTGTGCAAGGTTTACGGCAGTGCAGACCACATTGTCAACACGCTCAAGGACTGGGGTAACGAGGAATTCTTCGTCACGTTATGGGATCAATTGCAGGGTCGCGCGACCAAGGAAGGCGAGACGTCGAGGATGTCTGGCGAGATGAGTTACGAAGAGGTCAAGGATCGCACCTCCGCTGCCGTCGGCTCCGAGGCTAATGACGGCGTCCTCTTTGATGAGACAATCGCTGCGTACAGCCTTAGACGCAAGACGGCGCAGGAGTTTTTGGTGAGCGCGCTTGCAGACTCTCATTACAAAGCCTTTAGAGCATATGCGACACGGACACACTGGACAACCATTAGTGACAGTGGTTCCGAGAGTGAGTTGTCTTATTTTAAAAGCATTACCGTGCATGATACTAACCATTTACCAGTCGATCCGTCGCAATTGGCTGTTACACCAGAGCTCGACGAGCCCTTGAGAGTACGTCTCCCCACAGCCCAACTCCCAACGTCCCTCCTAACCTTGACCAGATCCTCAAGCGCAACTTTGATTTCCTACTCAAGGCTATTGGCACGGCAGCGTTCCGACGCACATGGCGCTCCGCACTAGACAAACTCCAAGACCTGCTTTGGGGCGAGGTCTTGATGAGGCAGAGCTTCACCGCGTTTGGTGCGGCCCAGTTCACGCGTGACGTCACTGCCATTTCCTCCCTTGTGGAGAGATATATCCAGAATGGTGTAGGATCATTGGGTAGTCTGTTTGACGCGCTGAAATTGCTCAACCTCCCGAACGAACCCCAGGAGGGCACTTTGTCGCTCAAGGACGCTACGGATCGGGTGTTTACCGATAACACGGAGGCCAAGAAGTTGTTGGAAGAGCTGGACATTGACACGCTCACCCCCGCGAATGCTAGGCATATTTTGCAGCGCAGGGTGGAAAACAAGGAATAGTCTGGAATTTCCTTGCAGCAGGCAGACTCAGATCTACACAGACAAAAATGATGCTAGGCACTGATATATTACAGATGCCATACCGTCGCAAGTTGTTATGATAGATCCGTGACATTTCATGACCCTGAATGATTCTATTTTGCCAAAACCCCAGCGTGTGCATATTCTAGTAAATGAATCTCAAGATAGATGACCCTATTTCACCCATTCCGTCTCCCATCTTTTTTTTCCCACTCCAAATAGAGAGATGCTCAGCTAATAGCACGCATGGTCAACTCGACCGTGGCAAACGTGCCAGCACTGACAGGCATAGCCCTCAACAGCGTCGGCACAATACCCCTCCAGAACCCGCGAAGCCCCTCGCCGCGGTACGTCTGCGCGAAGCAGTCCCTCATCGACTTGTACCGCTGCTCCTTGCCGAACCCGTCCGTCTGCATCTTGCTCTTGATCACGTCGAAGGGATAACTGCTCAGCCAGAGCGCCTCGCCGGCAAGACCGCCGTAGAAAGCAATCTTGTAAGGCGCAATGTCCTTGCGGTCCATGTTGTTGCGCCGCGCGTCGGCGTTCATCATCCACTCGAACGCCAGGAACCACACGCCGTAGGCCTGCGCCTCGCGGAGGATCGTGACGGCTTCGCCGCGGTAGAGGCCGTTGTTCAACGCACCGCCGTGGGAGGCGAGTTTGCGGACGCAGTCCAGGGGGCCGGAGTAGAGCCGGGCGGCGCCGTGGGGTTGGGTTTGCAGCCTGATGCGGACGTGCTCGATGGGACCTGAGATCACCGAGTTTGCGACGCCGGCGAAGGCGCCCGAGGCGTAGTACTGGGCGTAGGAGAGGGGACCCGTGGAGCCGTTGCGGGACTCGAAGAAGCGGCGGGCCTGGTGGAAGCCTGCGAACTGGATGGAGACGCAGGCGCCGATGCCGAGGAGCGGGGTGAGGGTTCCCTTGTAGAAGGCGAGGGCGCCTTCGTTTTTGTAGATTTGGGTTGCGGCGTTGAGGGCCGTTGTCGGGGTTGTTGAGGTTTGGAGGCGGACTTTTACGATGTCGAAGGGTTGGCCTGCAGGGTGTTAGCTTTTTTCTCAATTGATTTCACGTTTTTGGAACTCTGATCGTTTCCAGAGCTTCATAAAAGTTCTATGAAGGCGAACTAAGTGAGAATGAGGTGGTGAATGCTTGAGGTCGCCATTGTGTGAGGTTCGGCTGTGATTCCGAAGTCGGCTCCAGAAAAAGGCATCTCAAGCTCATCTCATCGCCAGCCCTCTCCCTCTTATTGTTCTGCGCAATTGAAAACGTACCGAGCAAGACCTGGGCAACACCGCCCGCGGCGCCAGAAAAGAGGTCCTTGGCCGTCTGGAGAGCACCGCCCACAACCTCGGGCTCAACCGCCGCGTCCGCCATCGTGTCTAGCCTTTTCGTTTGTTCGGTCTGTTTGCCGAGCTTCACTCTCTATGCCTTTGCCCCGCCACCGTTGATCGGTGCGCGCCCTGAAAAGGTCCGTTGGGGAAACTCCGACGGTCAACGATAGTGAATCTCACAGCTCGAGATTGAGTCGACCGACTAGAGGGCGTACCGAAGACAATTGGTCTCGGGGAATGCGTAGGAGGTGAAGTTCGTCGGTGAGGGTTGAGAGGGAAATCGGCGACCACTTGTCCCGGTTTAAGCTCAATGAGACTATTTATCAAGAAGCCACCCCCCAGACACAGATAAGGCAAGCTGTCTGTGGGGACATGCAGGGCGGTCATGGCGTGCTGTTGCTAAGCCGTTTACGGCGGCGGTGAGGGTTCACCTTGATGAGTAAGCTGGTTAAGCGCGACAGCGCGGTTATGAGGTCGGCGAGGCCTTCCGCCATCATCCAAAGCCTGCGTGATCTTTGTGAGATCAGCTCCGTTGTCGAGATGTAAATTGGTTCGCCAATTCCTCATGTGTTGTTTAATGTTCTAAGTTAGTCCATGCTAGGGGCTAGTGTCGAGTGTCAGTACTGAAGCATGCCTTAAACTCGTACTCAACTCCTACCATGCGTGGGAGTCCTACATTCGTCTTCGTCTGTCATTTGTTGCCAAATTTTGGAATACCGTTATAATGAATGCCAAATAGTTGGCTGGCGATTGCTGTAATAAGGGAAAGTAGTCAGCGATGACAGCTACCTGGCCCAAGGTTGAGCTGGCTGAGGTAGTGAGGTAGCTACCCCACCAAACATGTACCTTGACCCCTCACCTCGGTGAACAGGCCACCGTAGATTGGGCAGTACCGTCACTGCAGCTCCCCCTCCACACCGTTACGAAAAATCGCGAGTTCCTACCAACATCGGAGAGATGCGCTGAAGGCAAACATCAGCTCAATTTCACAATGTCGGCAGCGGGAAAGAAGCCGGAGACGGCTGTGTATGTCTACCCGAATTCGTTCGTTGCCGCGCACAAAGCTGACCATATTTTTTTAACCACCTCCACAGCAAGGACGCCACGCCCAGCAACCCTCGAGGTATCCCCAAAGCGCCGTTCGTCGACAAGGTCGAGGACTACGTCACCACCCGCGAAGATGTCGAACCGACGATGCGCAACTTCCAGGAGATGATTTCGTGAGTCGCACACTCGGCCGCTCACCCGCCCGCCAGGTGGGCTGGTCATGCCACACCAGAACTTCAATCCGACGCATCGAACGAGGCTACCGGGAAGGGCAAGGCCAGGTTAGGCACATGGGGAACAGCTGGTAACACATCATTCTTTTGCGCAGGAAATACCAGTTCATGGAGCTGAATCTTCAGAAGAGGATGGCTGGACTGAACGACAAGATTCCCGATATACAGAAGACGCTCGACTCTGTGCGGTTTCTGAAGCTCAGACAGGTGACCAGCCGCTCACGGATTCATCTATCGACAGGAGGCGCTGACAAAAGAGATAGGACGACGATGAACCGATCGAGACGACATTCGAGCTGAACGATACGCTTTACTCCAAAGCAAAGATCCCGCCCACTGAAGAGGTGTACATTTGGCTAGGCGTAAGACAATGACTGCTCCGCAGTAGACGATGCCATGGGTTTGAAAAGCTGGCTGACTGTACAGCAGGCAAATGTTATGTTGTCGTACCCCGTCGACGAAGCCGAGACTCTACTCGAGTCCAAGCTATCAACGGCGAAAACGAGCTTATCAAACTGCGAGGAGGACCTGGATTTCCTGAGAGAGCAGATCACGGTAACATTTGGCACCTAGGCGAGACGGGCTTGACCGCGTATACTAATCAACCACAGACTATGGAAGTCGCCATCGCAAGAGTATACAACTGGGAGGTGGTTCAAAAGCGGAAAGACAAGGAAGAAGGAAAGGATATCAAGAAGGAAAAGGACGAGGACAAGGCTGGCAGTTAAAAGGCGAAAAGCTCGATACCAAACCAAAAAACAACTTGATGTTCTGCCATTTCTTGCACAACCGCAATTTCACAGCACAGCATAAACCCGCAGCTATGTTTTTACACAACACGATCCGGATCATTGGGCCGTTGGTTCAAGCGATGGCCCTGTAGGCTTACGAATCCCGACCAGGGTCACGCAACCGTAGATGATTTAATTTCGAGGTCGTGGCTGAAGGCTTTCGATTGTCGATACCCCTTTATGCCATGGTAACGATCACGAAGGCGAACTAGGAGGTTTTTGTTAGTGCTGTGCAAGATCGCAGACTACCAATACAGCGTCACAGCATAGCTATGCACGTATGATGTTTAATCACTGGAGGCCAACCTGTCAGAAATCCGTCCGAGGTTAGCTAAACTTAGTAAGGAAAGTTTTAGCCATTGGATCAGCCGCCATCTCGATACCACTGGTGCTGGCCCAGTGCAGCTGACCGTGACCGAATCATGACAATCGACAACAACGCCCGCAAGCTAAGATCTGAGACGATGTTGGGCATGAGGTGGCAGACTGCACCAATCTACAGCGGCTCCGGGTGCTCGTGGGTGGGAATCCAGATCATTACGTAAGGCTGGGCTGTTATCTTAATAAGATGCGGGTGCCGTGGCAGGCGTGGCACCGTGGGTGCGTATCCGTAGCTGCGTAAGTGCGGTGTAGACGGCCGGCTAGGTTCGACGGGAGAGCCCAATTCGTGAGGGGCAGCCAGGGGCAACAGCGGTGCGGGACCGGTCGCTATGACGATTTTTGGCATTCTGCCAGCAGGTTCACTTTAATTCGACTTCCCAAGCCTCCCCTACTTTCCCGCTAGAGATCTTCCTTTCCCTTACCTTTCCCCACAACCAGCTCTTCTCTCCTAAACACCTACAATCCTGGTTGGCAACTTTCTTCAGGACAAACAACTTGTTACCGTTGTCCTATTGTCTCCGAATCCCATTACCTCTCCTCCACCCCGTCTTTTTCCTCTCTCTTTTCTTTTTTTCTTTGGAGGGCTCTGCAAAATCCCTCTAGCTACACCGATCTTCTTTCCTCGTCAACGAGAAGACCCTAGAACAAAACCCCCACCATGTCCCAGCAAGAACTCGATCCCAAGTACGACCAGTACGACTACCCGACCGTCGCCCCGACGGCGGCCAACGGTCACCCTGGCCACCTCACCCCCGAGCAGAAGGCTCAGGTTGCCCAGCTGCGCCTGATGCTTGAGTCGGATGGCTACGACAAGCGCCTCGACACCCTGACTCTGGTATTCCCTCCCATCCTGTGGCAGACACCCAATACTCGGAGGCCTGCGAATTCCACATCCAGAGCACCTTACTAACAGCCGAATTATAGCTGCGCTTCCTCCGCGCCCGCAAGTTCGATGTCAACCTCGCCAAGCAGATGTAAGCGGTGTCTTGTCTTCCACATCAGATCGTGCAACATGTAGCTGACGGGTATGATTTAGGTTCGTCGACTTCGAGACCTGGCGGAAAACGACCAAGCTTGACAACACCGTGCCGACCTGGGAATACCCCGAGAAGGAGGAGGTGTTCAAGTTCTACCCCCAGTACTACCACAAGACCGACAAGGTACGCCGCCATAAGAAAGAGACAACTTGCTCGGTGAAGTCACTCACTAACGCACTGCTTCACAGGATGGCCGCCCCGTCTACGTTGAGCAGCTTGGTGGCATCGACCTGAACGCCATGTACAAGATCACCACCGCCGAGCGCATGTTGACCAATCTGGCCGTCGAGTACGAGAAGTGCGCCGACCCCCGCTTCCCCGCCTGCTCCCGCAAGTCCAACCACCTCGTCGAGACGTGCTGCACCATCATGGACCTCAAGGGCGTCACCATCACCCGTGTCCCCCAGGTCTACAGCTACGTCAAGCAGGCCTCCGTCGTCTCCCAGAACTACTACCCCGAGCGTCTCGGCAAGCTCTACATGATCAACGCTCCCTGGGGCTTCTCCACCGTCTGGTCCGTCGTCAAGGGCTGGCTCGACCCCGTCACCGTCTCCAAGATCAACATCCTTGGCTCCGGCTACCAGAAGGAGCTTTTGAACCAGATTCCCGCCGAGAACCTCCCCAAGTCCCTCGGTGGCAAGTGCGAGTGCCAGGGTGGCTGCCAGCTCAGCGACGCCGGCCCGTGGCACGAGGCCGAGTGGACCAAGGAGCCCTGGTGGCAGAAGCCCGAGGCCAAGGCCGCTGCTGCTGCCGGCGGCGACGTCATTGAGAACAAGGGCGGTGAGACCGTTACTGCTCCGGCTGCCGGCGGTGCTGCTCCTGCGGCTGCTGCTACTGCTGACGCCAAGGCTCCTGCTGCGGCATAAATGTTGCCCTTTTAGGAAATTGCGTGCATTGGAATTGAGAGTGGCGCTGCCGGATGAGCAGTTAGAGAGAAGGCGTTGACAAATGTGGTGTTGTGTCCTGAGGTGAAGAAAGACACTGGGTTGGGTGGGAGATGGGGGTGGCTACCTAAAAACAAGAGCATCTTTTCTTAGAACCGCTCATACACGTGTTGATCCTGGCAACCTTTGCTATTTCACATTATACATACTTTCATTTTGATCAGTGGACCCCATTGAATGGCATTTTCGCAAAAAAGAGAGAGACCATCGTCTTTATGCTTTCCAGACTTTATTAGACTGCAATCAGCACATGTAAAAAGCACTGCCCATGGGTCATCGGCCGTCTGGCAGGATGCCCACCGTTGTGGTATAAGTTCCCAACGCCTCAACTCCCATAAAGTAAAAGAATCCCCCTCTCGTCAGATTGCCTCACGACCGTTCCGTAACGGTATACTCCCCAGCAACCCTCGCCCTCTCCATCTTGGCAACGGTAGCAGGCATCGTCTTCTTCAACCTCCCCAACCCGCCCACCGCGCCCCCAAACGCCTCCTTCACCTCGCCCCTCCTCTCCATCGCCTCGAGCGGGAGCACCTCGGCCTCCATCTCCCTCGCCTCGTCCTCTTTCGCCTTCTTGGCAGCCTCGAAAGCGGCCTCGTCTGCGGCCGCGGCGGCTCTGAACTCGTTTGTCGTCGCGGCAGCGATGGCGCCGGGGACGGATTTTTTGAGGGCGGCGATTTCGTTGAGGAGGTCTTCTTCCTCGCGCGCGAGGTCTTCGACGCGCTGGCGGAGGCGGGCGTCCCAGGGTTCGTAGGCTTCTTCTGGTTCGTCTGAGGGCGTGTTGTTGGAGAGGAAGGTTGACGGGTCGGTGTCCATGCCGTTTATGGAGAGGTTTGGGGCTGCGTAGGTGAATGTTTTGTTGATGTACTGTGTTTTCGGGGGGAGTTTGTGTTAGCGAGATTCTTGGGGATTGGTGTGGCTCGCTTTCTTCTGCCTTTGCTTTCTCGTGCCTTGGGGGAGCAATCTCGAAGCAAGAACATGAGGGTCGTGCAAGATTTCGCCGAGAAAAAACAAGAGAAGGGGGAGGGTTTGGGGTAGTAGCCTTACCTCGTTGACCAGGCGCTCAATAGGCGCCCGCAGCTCGTCCTCTTGCGCGTTGCTGCCCTCGATGTGCGGAAACGCATTGTCGAGCTGTTCCTGCGCGGCGCGCCGGACGTTGGTGAGCAGGTACGCGAGGTCGTCGCGGGATTGCAGTTCGATCTTCCTATGTGCGTCCTCCATAGTTGTCTCCTCGTTTCCGTTTCCTATCCCCTTCTTCCTTTTTGGGCCTTAGATTTCTTTCACTCTTTTTCTTCCTTCTTCACTAACACATTCGAGTGGGATCCTGGTGGGTTTGAGAAGGGCGGTCTGTGTTGAGAGTCCTTAATTGCTCCTTTTGGAGGGGGAGATTACCCGAGTTCGATTGGTCTCGCGTGTTGGCGCGTCGTGGGTGGTGGGGTGTTGAGTCGTGGTGGGATGTGTTTGTCCTCGGTGTGGATGTTTACTTGCGCCTGGTTTGCTTGACGACGAGACGGTCCAGTTCCATTCGACACCACCTCACCCCGGCCAGCGGTCGCCCCATCGGTGCGCATCGAGCCCGTCTTCCGATCTGACCTGTGCTCCTCCCACCATCCAGCTGGGCTTATCAGCGGGAGGCTAGTGCGTCTCTATCTTATCTTCTTATCAGCATGTGACGCTGCCCAGACTACCTCAGGTACCGACCTTGAATGACCGAATCGATCCCAATGCAACGCCAGCGACCCAACCCCGAGAACTGCCGAGATCGGACAGTCGCTCCGAAGAGGTTCAGCGAATGGTTCGGTGTGGAACACAGACCAGTAAGGTAGACCTGTTCCGTTCACCTTTGAGAGGGAATGATGGGCGGTGGCACTGTCCGGGACAAGCATCACCAGAAAAGAAACCCTCCCCAATTTTAGTTTTACCTACGTACAGCTTTACCCTCATGCATTGCATGAATGCTGCAAGGGGAGAAAAGAGTGTATGGGATCGTCCGCCAAGGTCACGAGGTGCAGCAGTCCCACGGTTCGGATCTTGTTCAGAGGGATGGGCGAGAAGGGATCGACGTCGATAGTCAATATATGAGAGACATGAAGAATGACGACCGGTTCGGTGTCGGGACGGTGTGTGTGTTTGCGGCATCAGCCGGGCTACCATCTTCAAAATAGCATCACAAACTTTCTCTGCCCATACACATTCATCCAACAACTTATGCCTCCCGGCCGAACCGGATATGCTATGTCGTACAGACTAAGGAGCGCCTGTCTATATAGGTGGCACAACGCAGGCAAAATGACCCAAACTCTTTTTACGACTTTGAACGGCGGTAGGTACTCTCAAAACTTGGCATTCTTGCTGGACGTCCGTCCCCTTGTCCGTCTGTCTGGGTTGATGCATCTCGACGCTATGACTGCGAAACTGGGACGGACCTGCATGGGGGGAGGAGCACAGAGGGTAGACAATTTTACCGCACCACCGAAATCAAAACCAAAGGGGTAGTTTCGAGGACTTTGAAGACTGCGTTTCTTATCCGTACATATGGAGGTACGCCGGACACTCACAATGAGAAAATTGCGGGGCGATGGTTTACGGGATGGTTCAGCTGGTTGATGCAGCTGGGGTAAACGCTGTTTTGCGTCACCTATCAAGGTGAGAAGTAAATAACCGGCACGGTGCGGCACACCTTGGTGCTCAGCAAGGGAAAGAACCGGGACATCTGTCCCAGACCTTCCTTACCTTACCTTGCTGTTCTTCTTTCGCAGAGTGTACATCATGTCTCACTTATCTCCTCATCGTTCTGAGTCTTACCGACAAGCAACGGGGAAAAGCCAAAGGACCAAAGACCATCATCGCACTTACACCACCCATACTCCCATGTCACAAACGTGGGGTTCCCCCCTTCCCAAGATGGGCAAAGCCCACGGCGAAAGCGGAGCTTGCTTTGCTTAGAAGGGGTTTAGGTGCCATGGCGTTGTCGGTCCTCGGGTGCGTGCGGTGAAGGTACAGCACAGTAGCGCCGGGCCTGCGGTACTGGCGGTCTTCTGCTGGTCTGGAGCCAACCCAAGGTAACTGGACCCTCTTTCCCAGAACGCCATCTGGGACGGAATGGCGTCCAAACAGGCCACACCGACGACAGTGCGCCGGGAGAAGGGGGGCTAACGGTGACCAGAGACCTGAGGTTTCGAGTCAGAAGCTGAAGGGGGCCCGTTTCAGCGATTTTCGAAGATCAACATGATACTGTTTGCACTTATTCAATGATTGCGACTACTGGGCTCTCAGTAAGGCATGCACGTATGGAGTGACTGCAAGGCAGGTGGTTGGTTATCGGCTGGTCTGCCCAATTACTCCGACGGTACCCGTGGACCCTGACGTGGTACCTGGCCGGCTTGCACTACCTACCCTACTGCCCAAACTCTCGTAGAAAGAGAGACAGGAACATGCTTGATAGGCTCAAATGTACGCCATAAATCAGGACATTGTGTGGATCACGGTGGCGGACGGCTTTTGACCTGTATAGTGTCCTTGTGACACCACCTTATTGAACTATGGAACTGGTGGAAAATCAATGAAAAGGGAAAACCGCGGTCGAGGCGGCATAATACACGATCGAGGAGGGTATGTGCTTGCAATCCCATGGAACGCCCCAATCCAAAAGAAAGGCAAACGGCAACAAACAGATAAGAAATGTAACTTGAGACAATGAAACCCGTCTCGTCAAAACGATTCCAACTCCCCCGATAACTCCCAAAGGCCGGTGCCACTAATAGCTCCTCGAGGTCGAGAAGGAAATGCGACTTGTACTGTGTTTCCACTTGGTGTACTCCCATGCACGTTCGTATCCGGATCGAACATGGGCCCATTTGCCTAGGTGGTTCGTTCGTAAAGCAGTCTGATAAAATGATATAAAAGAGTCGGAGGGGGTACAGGTCGTGGCCGGACGCCGTGATGTGGAAAGAAAATGTATCTCGTGAGAATCGTCGGTCTAAGCGCTCAGGACGTAGATGTTCATGTGTAGCGTCATGGCCGTCTCTGAGGGACGCCGTTATTGAGGAAACATGTTGTTGATCTCCTCGTCGCTAAGGACAATCTCGTGTACGGGCTCCCGTCGGTTCTCGAGCGGGGTGTAGTCACAATCGACATACGACGGCAGGAAGATCTCTGAAAAAAGTGGTCAGCAAGTAATGGGAGGAGAGACCGGGACAACCTTTACTCACCTGGGTTCCATGCAAAGCCCTGGCTCGAGGAGAGGTAGGTGATCTGGATGGCCTGTTAGCATTCGTTCCCTGAGGAGGACTATAGTGGTCTTACAAGGCGGGGAGTTCCGTTTGGTTCGCCGATGTTGATAACGGTGCTTTCCTGCTTCGACAAGGCGGAGCCTGTCCGTGATGTGAGCAAAGGTCCCAAGTTGACATGTACAGAGTCCGAGACAGGCATGTCGGGCAAGGCTGCAGGCCCGGGCTGTGTAGCTTCACAGTAAAGTGGGATGACTTACTGAGAAGGCTAGGACGACGTTCATGGACCATCTTTCGCTTCTGAACGGAAGTCGGGGAAGATGTTTGAGGTGAACTGGAGTATGTCGACGAGGAAGAGCTAGCAGCACCCCGGACCTGGGGTGACTGGTGGTGGTGATATGTGTTGGCCGACGACGGGGTCATCGGGATTGCAATTGACGACGACATGATGTATGTAGTTTCGGAGGGGAACAGAGGGAAGACCCCAAGTAAGACGAGACGATAAAGTTCAAGAGTGATTGAAAGCAGTCAGAGAGATCGAGGAGAAGCACGAGAGAACGCACACCGGAAGGCAGGTCATGTATGGTAGAGAAGCAGTGCAGCGTCAAAGTGAAGCAGATGTTGAAGGAGTCAGAAGTGGGATTAAAGGTACGAGAATGGAGAGAAGGAGTGCCTGTGACTGTACAGTGCTAGGTCGGCTTGCTGGACGAAGGCCCAACGAGGCACCCGGCCGGTGAACACATCATCCCATGGGGGGGTTGATAAGAGATAGGTGCCGGAGTAGCAGGCCGTGCTAAGGACCGACGGTGACACTCACCGACGACTCTAACAGTGGAATTGCGGGAGAGACCCTCACATCATCATGGCAGGGATCGTGTGCCGTCTCCACAGTACATGGGGGCAGGCGTCCCCACTTGAGGCCAATCGGAGGTCGTCGCTGCCTCCAGTCTGGGCAACGTGCTGCAGGCACTTCGCCTTGCTCCAAGTCATCTGCTGAGCCAATCAATCAACCAGAGAGTGTCCAGTGGGGGGCCTGCCTGGTATCCCAAACAGCACGTGACCTTGAAGCTTCGACCAGGTTCCTGACTAAGCTGGGCTGGGCTGAGAGGCTGCGCTGCATGCGTATCCGATTGACGCCTACAGCCAAGCTCGAGCAAGCAAGCACCACCACCACCCAGCTTGAAATCAACAACCTTGCCATCATCAACGACACCGCCTATTGTCCGCGAACTCACATCCTCTACGAACCTCGAGGCATCTCGAGTAACGAAACCCCTTATTCCACGCCTTTAATACCCATCAAATATTCGACACAATGGGTGACGTCTTGGTGGAAAACCCGGCCAACCAAGTCGCCCCTCACAAGAAGACAGCTCCCTCAACAATCCCTAGTATTGAGAACTTTGAGGGCATCGCGACGGAGGGAGGTGACGACTATGCCACATTGAAGAAGCTGCAAAGACAACTGGAGTATATCCAGTTGCAGGAGGAGTATATCAAGGATGAGCAGAGGTTCGATACTCGCACGATCACTGCGTGTCATCTGGTTTGCTGACCCGCTGGCGTAGGAGTCTGAAGCGCGAGCTTGTCCGGGCTCAAGAGGAGATCAAGCGAATCCAGAGTGTTCCTTTGGTGATTGGGCAGTTTATGGAGGCCATCGACCAGAAGTATGCAGACCCCCGCAGACAGCTCCCGCTTCGAGCTCAACAATGCTAACTCATCATAGCACCGGAATCGTACAGTCATCCACGGGTTCGAATTATGTCGTCCGCATCCTTTCCACCCTCGACCGCGAGAAGCTCAAGCCCTCTTCCTCCGTCGCCCTCCACCGCCACTCCAACGCCCTCGTCGACATCCTCCCCCCCGAAGCCGACTCGTCCATTGCCATGCTTGGCGCCGACGAGAAGCCCGATGTGACGTACGCCGATGTTGGTGGTCTGGATATGCAGAAGCAGGAGATCCGCGAGGCTGTTGAGCTACCATTGACGCACTTCGACCTCTACAAGCAGATTGGTATCGACCCTCCTCGCGGTGTCTTGCTCTACGGTCCTCCGGGAACAGGAAAGACGATGCTGGTCAAGGCTGTGGCGAACTCCACGACGGCGAACTTCATTCGTGTCGTTGGCTCCGAGTTTGTTCAGAAGTACCTCGGTGAGGGTCCTCGCATGGTTCGCGATGTCTTCCGCATGGCCCGCGAGAACGCCCCCGCCATTATCTTCATTGACGAGATTGACGCCATTGCGACGAAACGTTTCGATGCGCAGACTGGTGCCGATCGTGAAGTTCAGCGTATTTTGCTCGAGCTTCTCAACCAGATGGACGGTTTCGACCAGACCGCCAACGTCAAGGTCATCATGGCCACGAACAGAGCCGACACCCTCGACCCCGCCCTTCTCCGTCCCGGTCGTCTGGACCGAAAGATCGAGTTCCCTAGCTTGAGAGACAGACGCGAGCGTCGTCTCATTTTCTCCACCATTGCCAGCAAGATGAGCTTGGCCCCCGAGGTCGACATGGACTCCCTGATTGTCCGCAACGACCCTCTCAGTGGTGCCGTCATCGCTGCCATCATGCAGGAGGCCGGTCTCCGTGCCGTGCGGAAGAACCGCTACAACATCATCCAGAGCGATTTGGAGGATGCCTACTCAAGCCAGGTCAAGGGCACGAGCGACGAGAACAAGTTTGATTTCTACAAATAAGCGACTGCTCTCTCCGAGGGAGAAGGCGCAGGCGGAAACGGCGCATCGTGGGGGGAACGAACAGAGCTCGCTGCCAGGCTGGCAATGTAATGTCATGAAGGGCACGGCTGGGAAGGCAAGGGATAGACTTTACAAGGCTTCGGGGAGCGAGACTTGGCGTCGCGTTGTACAATACAATACACTCGATAAAGAAGTTGCGTTGCCGCCACTATGTTTCAACCTGGTTTTCAAACCCATTTCACTCGTATGCTGGGAAATGCGTGATCGTGACTGTGACCTAAAGGAGTGCTTCCCTTTGTCTATAAATCTCCGCCAGTATCACCAGAGGCCCCTGAGTATACGGTGCAGCTCTGTGGATCTCATAAATCAGGGTTTGTAAGACATGAATCTCAACTACATGTGCCTCTTCCAACACCGACATTCAGCTGCCTCCGACCCCTTGCGACGATTGTTGGAAGCAGAAGAGCGGAAGTTCAGATGGCACCTAGACGTTTCATCAAACAAAAGCTGGAGTGAGATTAAACAGACCCTATCTACGACGTAACCCAGAGCGTGAGCCGTCTGGCATGGTATACAAAGGGGAATATATATAAGCGCCATACTACAAGTTTGGTGTCGATGACTTGGTTACCTAGCTCATATTGTTTTCAAAAGCAGAAATAGGTGTGTGTCTTTGTCTATGGGAGAGGTACGAAAACGCGCAAAAGAGAAAAAAAGGAGAGAAATTCATAAAACCGACACATTGAAAAAGGAAAAAAAGTGTTCAAAACTGAATTTGCCCATGTGAACTGTCCCCAGACGAAGAAATCAGAGGGCCGGTCGTTGGTTGTTAATCGGCGGGCGAGCGGTGCGAAACGTCAAACACACACACACACACCGGGACTCCACTCGGTATCAGCCGAGAACGTCAGGTTTCCTTCAAATCGGATGGCTGGCCGGAACAGAACCTGCCTTATCGAAAGGAGGGAGGGGAGGGAGAGGAGGTTCCACTCGATCAAAGTAACTTGATAGGAACAAAGCATTACATCACATATCACCTTTCCTTCTCGATCTTATTACCGTATCAGTCGGCCTACATGTAAATTTTTTGCCCCCCATTATGAATTATGTATAAAGTATACTGCAACTACTTACCTTACTTCGATTGCCGTTAGATATTGAAGTCGTCTCTAGAGTTACTGTTCTCATGAAACAGGTCGCAAACCAAGTATGAACAAGGCCAGAATGGATTACGATATCGTCAATAGAGTATGGTAAATTCATCAGGGTGATAATTCTGAATTTTGCTAAACCCCTTTTCCCAAATACTTTTCCGGATCCGATAATCCCCATCTATTGATTGGGAATTTTTTCCCTTCTTCCCCTTGTTTGCCGTTTGTCCTTTTCCCATCATCCTTTTGCTTTTCCTTCCCTCTGTTGCCTGTTTTTACCACAGACGTGAGCCTGGAAGCTTCCGTTGTGAAGTCTAATGTCGCTACTCTCGAGGGGAATCTGGGGAAAGGAAGAACATGAAGAAAAACCCGTGAATCATGAAGCCATGGCTAGAAAGTGAAAAAAAAAGTAGGGATCCCAAAGTCTATGAAAATCATGCCCAGCCTGCCTGCTTAGTCGTGAAAACCGCTTGAAAAAGGATAAGGAAGCGATGCTGCCGTTCGCTAATGCAAAAAGTCCTAATGCAAATGAGATGCCAACCATCTCATTTGTGGGGTATATCCGTCGTCCCGCTGCAATCACTCTCCTCCCCTCCTCTTCTCTCTCTTCGAGTAGTGGGCAAGGTAATTATAATTATCATTACCCATTACTGCTTTGGTTCTGGCTACCGTGTCTGAGGTCCGGCCTAAGCCCGCCGCATCATAGTTGTATGTGATTTGTATGTTGGTATGTTTCGTACGAATCGCGTCTTCTACTGCCCAAGTCAATGACAAAGGCAGCGATTCTGTGTTGTGAACGTATATGTGCTGCAACTGTTACAGCTCCTAAGAGCTCAGCGCAACGCCAAGTTCGAGCATAAGCTTCACAAACTTGGCATGCAGCTCAATAAAGAAGTCGGGCATGCCGACAAGTTCAGCAAGGCCTCGAGCTTTGAGTGAGACACCGCCGGGACCACCGCCCATTCTCCTTGAGAAGCCGCCACCTCCCGTGAGGAAGCTGCTGCCACCACGGTCTTGTCCTTCGCGTTCAGGCTTGATCATCGTCGGATACGAGCTGTGGTGTTGCGGGCCTCCAAGGGGGCTGGCTTCGGCAGCTTTTTCTGCCTCAGCTTCCGCCAACTGCTGAATCCATGAAGCAAGATCACGGAAAGCGGCAGCCATGAAACCAAATGTTTTCATCGCCAGTCTCTCCTTGTGTGTGCTAAGAGCCAGAAATGCATACACACGCTTGTGGCCGCGAGCATGCATATCTGGAATGCGAAAGATGTATGCTGTCGTGTAGCCGTTGACTGGATCGCCGAAGAATATGGGACCACCAGAAGCTGCTGCCCCAGCGCTGTGTGTCGTGACAAAGGCTGGCATGTTGCTTGACTGCGGCGATGCACTAGGGGTTGGGTTTGCCGGGGCGCGGGGTAGTGTCTCCAGTGAAAGGGTTCGCAGACACGAGGATCGCACTATCGAGAAGGAAGCTGGGATGAGAGGTTCGTGGGTCGAGGTGTAGTCGAGGTAATGTGTGTGGCCGACATGCCTGCCCGATGACATGCTCGATCGCGTTGTTGTAGAGCCCGTTGCCCTTCGGTGCATTCGTTCGGGTTGGCTTTCTCCATCTGTGTCACTAGCAGAAGATGCTTGAGAAGTAGGCGGCGATGCCTGTCCGTATACCCTGGCGTAAGGAGCGCGAGTGCGCAATGTGGGACCACGCTCAGCCTTCAAGTCGTTCTTATCCTTGCCGCCCTGTCGTTGCGGCAGCGTCAGCGCGCAATTCTCGCAAGGGCCGGCGCGCTTCGTAACGTAGTCGTCGTAGGTTCGGCGAAAACTCGAATCTCGTCGTGGCTGCTGTTGCTCCGATATCCGGCGGGGGCTTTCGGGTGGGGTCTCGATTGCGGAGGGCGACAGAGGGGAAGCTGGCGAGTTCGTGGTAGAGTTTGCTGAAGAGGCGCGAAGCATGGCGGCGCGCGGGATCTGGTTTTCAGTTTCGGAAGCAGGTAGAGACGAGCTGCGGTGCGAGTTGAGGTGCATCTTGCGCAGCGCATCCGACATGGCCACGGTCTGGTTGAGAGAGCCAGCCGGTGCTGGGGCGCTGGTCCGGGGTCGGAGCTGATCTTGATCGGCATAACCAGCGGCGCCATCATCGAAGCATGTTGTGCATGGGACCGGCAGGCCCTCGGTGACCATAAGCGGGGTCGGACCATGTTGGTCACAGTAGTGAGCGAGACATAGCTGGAGGCCGGTCATTAGCGACAGCGAATCCGGTGGTTGTTGGTTCATGGTTGCAGGGTGTTCGCGAGGAGTGGCGAAGGTGTGCTCAAACGACGGGACACGCATCGTGAGAGTACAACAGCCTTGAGAGTTGGGTGTGTTTGGCAACAGAGAGATACTCTGCCAAAGGTGGAGGGGGAAGGAATATCAAGCAAGAAGTGTAGCCATGCCAATGCCAGGAAAGGGGCGAGGAGGTATAGGAACAGCTTATATCAGCCGTAGAGGTGAGAGAAGACGACAGAATATGAGAGCGAGTCGTGTCATGCGCCCGAGGGTAGAGTTATACGTGTGAGAGGCAAAGTAGGGCGAGGGTGCATGGGAGAGGCCATGGCGGCGCAGTCTCCCTTTCTTATGGGAAGTTCAAAGGGGGTCTGGGTGGTGGTGAATAAGAATTGGGCATTGGAAATGATGGGGGAGGACAAGATGGAGGGGTGGCTAATTAGGGGACGAGTATCCGTACTCCGTAGAGGCGTATGGAGACATGGGAGTAGATAGGATGGGATGAGATGAGTAGAGAAGTTGGGCAAGGTGAGGCCGGTTGCAACAGGCAGGGCCCCGGTCGTGGGGGATGTTATCCTGATTGCCGGTGTCTCGTGTCGGGCTTGTCTGAGTGTCTGGGAGCGACGGGGAAGACGAGGAGGATGGGGATGTGCACTGATATGCGGGAAGCGGTGAGGCGGTGAACGAGCGGCTCTCTCCAATAGCATGACGACGGTCGGTCAGGTTTGACGGCCAGGGACAGCAGGAAATGCTGCAATCCAGATTGGCCGAGGCGTGTGGTCATGGTCCATGGGAAATGGGCAGGCCGGCCCTTTTTTTGGTGGTGGGAAAAGATAAAGAGGCAGCGTAACGCAGCAATAAGGAGAGACACTGAGAGAAGACCAACTTACTATGGATGTCATGACGTACTCCCTCTCCCCAGGCCGAATCCGGGTCGTGTTTGTGTTTCGCCAATGAAGAGATGAGCGCAATCAACGCCCAGGCCCAGAAGGGGGGGAAGAGAAAAGAAAGGCTGTGTCGTCTGTTGTAAGAAGTCGTGAGGAACCCCAGCAAGGGTCGGTTGTTGCACTTTGGTCTTCCGTTTGGGGGCGATTTTTTTTAGGTGCCACGCGGGATGGCGGGATCGCAGGCTGAGAGAATGAGAAGTGATTAGAAAGAGGAAGCCTTGAAGACGGCGAGTCGGAGCAGGAAAATGAAAAGCAAAGTGGTGGTTCTCGAATAAAAAGGTGTATGGATGAGACGGCAATAATAAGTTGCGTGTGTGTGCGCGCACACCTTGTGCCTCCTCTGTATGTGTGTGTATGTGTGTGTGTGTGTATGCGTGTGAGGAAAAAGAATAGCAAGTGAGGAGTGAGTTGAAAGAGTAAACGAGAATGAGTGTGTAAGAGAGACAGAGGCGAGTCCAAAGTGGGTGTGTGAATAAGTGGGTGTGAGAGAGGTGTGTGGTGCGGATGCAGTAGCCACGATCCCCAAGGTAAAGGCAAGTAAGTGCAAGTGCGACTGCGATGAGGTGCCGAGATGAAAAGAGCGAGCGACCACCGGAGGGTAAGGTACTTACTACGCTTGCTACCTCATACACAGTGGTGGTAAGGTACCTTTATTCACTGGTGAGGATGAGGACGAAGACAACAAGTGATCGATCTGCTTACTCTCCTCTCAAAGAGCTGTTGCTGCGAACGCTAAGAAGACGCAGACCCAGACTAAGGAGCAACGATGGGCGGGGTTCCCGGAAAGCGCAGGTTCGTTGTCGTATGAGAAGGGTGGGAAGTCCCGGCGGGACGCGATGCAGGGCGATTTCGATGCTGATGGACGTGTTAGCGACTTCTGGAGTCTTGCCCGCCGGGCTAGAATGATGGGACGGCTCACAGTTGGTGTGGTTGGTCGTTGGTGATGCTAGCCAGTAAAGCAACCCAGTCTGAGTCTGAGCTTGGTGGCCAGACTCGATGGGAACCAACGGCGGGACTGACGGGAGATGGTGAACGACGTCTTGAGCTACTGCGTAGTCCCATATGCTAGCAGTGGTACCCCAATATTCCTGACAGAGACGATGGAATCTCGACACGTCTAATCAACGATGGGGGGTTTGAGAATGGTGGTTGACAATGACACGCACACTAGTAATGACTCAATGCTGAGTGGCTGAATATGGTTTTTGGACACCAGAAAAAGACGAGGACGAGAACCTCAACGGGTCGGCGGCCACGGCAAGCTCAGTTTAGTTATTACCACATCACCTACTTCTTCATTCATCGAGTGGGATGAATGTGGCCCTGTGGAGGGGGGAGGGGGAGAAAAAGTCAAGGCGATTCTTCATGTGCGGGGCACGTCAGGGAAAATAAACAACCCCCGTGACATACACAGTACACAATAAGGTAGATGATGGATATTTTCCTACGATTATCGTGGGCTTCATCCACTCAGATGGTCTTCCGTAGTTGATCGGTACCTGGCCTTGGGTCGCTGCCGACAGCTCGGGACTGGGACCTCGGACACAACTGCTATGGAGTACTGGCAACGACCAGGGACTCGAAGACATGGCAACGAGGAAACACCACCATACCATGGACGAGAGACCCGGGCCCAGAAGACCAAGACGTGGGACGACCTGGACAATGGGGCCGGGCTGTTGACTCGCTCTAGAACTCGGAAGACCCACCGTGGCCAACGGAATCTCGGCCTATCTAAGCTATTCTTAAGTCTTTTTTGAGTCTTTTTTGAGTCTTTGACGAATTCCTATGGTTTGCTGTTCATTGTTTCTCACTTTACTTTGTGTGTAATAAGTCTGAGCCGTCTTATCGTCGCGTGCCAGTGGGGACGGACTCTGAAGCCTTGCTGGGAAATGGGGACGTTTCAATGGAGACAATGAATTCTTCGTATGTAAAGCGTTGCTCTATAGCCGTGCGCTAACATCCAAAAGAGATTCGCGGCGGAGTAGGGGTCGCAGAGGCCAAGGCATGCCGGGAATTGCGAGTGGTTGATTCGTTTCTAGGCATGTCCAGCATGGTTTGACCGCACGTTAGCTGCTGCGGACGCTCATGTAGGTAGATGCGCCGTTGTGGTGCAACTGCTCCGTCAAACGTCTCTGATCCAAAAATGAGAGGGGAGGGGACAAAACTGACTGAGGCATTATACGGGCCGCAAGGTAATGGGGTTGCAGGCGCTAGGGTAGGGTCAAGTTCCGAAAATCGCGATTATGAATCGCAAGGCGGTTTGAGACAGATTACCCGGCCGGTCATCATGAAAGAAATTCAACAATAACCCCGTCCCCAGTGTACGGATCCCGAGTACCGTACCGGAGTAATTCACGGCGTAGCTATTCGCGAATAAGTCGGGCAAACCTCCCCACGAGCGGCGAGCAATAGTAGGGCAGAGCATACATAACAGAGCCAAATAAACTTCGCACGTTCTCCGTTGCGGTCATGGGTGGTTGTAGCCTCGTAGGGAACAGTGCTTTCTCTGCGTCCCGGGTGCCTGAGCAGGTATTCGGGATTCTCGACGTTCCAAGAAATCCCGAGCCCAATATCCCTGACCTGGTTCAGCTTTCTTTTTCCTCTTGTCTCTTGTTGCCCGACCCGACGGTGGGAAACCGGGGTTGTCTTGTTGTTCTCCTCTTCCTTTCTCGACAAAATCGGGGGGGGGGGGGGGCAAACCCCGACGCAACCGCAAGCAGCTGACTGGACTGAGAAGCACCGTAGCAGTCCAGTCTCTCAGTGTCCCCCCTGATCGGAAAGAAGCAGTATCCCTGTCGGCCGGATGTGAATAGCGGACAGGAGGGCTGCAAGCAAAGACCCAGTTGGACCGCGAATGGCAGGCTTGCTAGGATGTGACTTGGCGCAGTGGAAGGAATTCAAACGAGGGGTAGAATTGTCCACATCTTCCAGAAGCATTCCAGCGGGTGGGCTGGAACTTTCGACTGGGGGCCCAGGGACGGTGCACGGCCGCGAGTGAGGTGCAAAGCAGTGGTGCAGGACGATGGCACGGGCAACGAAAAAAGGCGGGTTTTCTGGTGACGTTGTCAATTGCGTCCCCATGTAGGCAGGCAGTTGAAAGTTCTCAAGCTTCGGGCAAGGTCCTGGTCTGCTCCACTACAGGGTCGGAATGGCTCGCAGAGTTGTTTTCAAGATGGAGATGGAGGTGAAGACAAAGTCGATTTGGCTTGGGGTTTGCGGGCGAGGATACCCCGTGGATACTTGGTGATGACGGGACCGAGGACGGCAGTGAGTGAAGTGGATGAAAATAGCTGCTTGGCAAAACGAACGTGAGCTGTATCCGTACACGAGTTGAGGTACGGAGTACGGAGTACCTCCAATAACTTTGGTGTCCTGCCACGGGCATCGGCCGAGTAGTGTACTTGGTAGGCACAGAAAAGGGGGATCGAGGCTTGTGGTGCTTGTTCCGTTTGGGCTCTCGGTGTTTCTGTCGTTTCCTGGTGGACTTTTTCTTTTTCTTCCTTCTTTTTCCCTTTCTGGGTGCTCAGATGCAGGGTACTTGGGCGTCGACCGAGGCAGGCGGCAGGCGTAGGCGCACGCTGAGTTGCTGACCGCCCCCAGACAACCTAAGTCACAAAAGTTGCTTCCGGCATATCGTAGGGGTCTTGGTAGATGAACGGGGCAAGTGAGGAGAAGAGAATGGGAGGCCTTGTCAATTTTGTCTTGTCGTCGCGATGGAAAATTAGGATCCCATCTCACCCAAAAGGGCTCCTTCCCTCTCGAGTGTCGAGTTTGCGCATCAGTCTGGGGTTTGGTTTCGCACGAGTGAGAGTCGGGAAGGAGGGGATGAGGTAATGCGGGGCTCTTTCTCGTACAGACCTAAGGTACCTTAAGGTACCTCAGGTCCGTACCTTGGGTAAGGTACGGGGTGGAGGGAGTTGCGGACTGCGGTCCAGGACCTCGTCACTCGCCCCTTCCGTTCAGCCAGACTTAACAGGTTCAGAGCTCACGTGGAAGGTACAGCTTTGCATCTGCGCATTCCTAAATTCTCAATCTTAACCTGATGGATCCAACTGGGGCCTGCCATTGGACGCCACCGGATCGCCAGCACCGCTTCATCGGTGCAAAGTGCAAGAGCGGTGCCGCGGTGCGAATGCAAACGAGCAGGTGCAGCAAAGTTCGGCAGGCGCAGGCGTAATGTAAGGTAGGCACGCAGGGTCCCAGATGTCCGGCTACCTTCCATACCTAACCTAACCTTACTAGGTACTGTACAGGACTTCACCTTGCAGCTCCATTCCATTACACGCTGCACATCTCAGTTATCCAAACTCAAGTGTTTCGGTCACAACTCGCCTCGGGACCGGGAACCGGCCAAGCTTGTCTTGGCCTCTCCGTCTCTCGGTCCATACCTCATCCTGATCCTTGATACATCCACCTTACCCAATGCCAGAGAATGACAGCCAGACTACCTACCTTAGCTACATGTGCCCAAGGTGGTCTAGCACTCGGGTTAGCACTTCCTGATTCCCTTCGACCTACCTTAGCCCTGCTTAGCCCCAAGCTGTCAGTTGTCACTGCTGCCTCTCGACTTGCACGACTGACCGCATCGCCTTGTCATCGTGATCTGAGCTAGGTATCCGTATCTTGGATAAGGGAGGAAACGCAAAGCTGGTCTGCGGCCTGCCATGCAAGTCTTCCTTTCACTCTTCACTTACAAACTTGCAACGCGGCTGGCGCTAACCCTAACCAGCAAAGACCCAACGGGCAGCGTTTGTCTCTCCTGAGTCTCTTCCTGGCTCAATTACGCAGCTCCGGAAACATTACCGGCGGCATTATGTACTAGCGCCCTCTTCCTTGACTCGTTCGACCGCAAAAGGACATTGAGATTTCACGTATCAAAAACACCAGACGAAAACATGTCCGACACATTCGTAGTCTACGTACACACTGCGGAAACTCGACAAGATTCCGCCGGGGCCTACAAACTCAATCCAGCCATCCCAAGTCTTTTCGCCAGCACGGCGGCATAGCGATTCTTTGTGTTTCCATTCATCACGCTCAGATCCGGACCTGTCATCTGATCCCAGTATCAACCCCTGTTTGGCAAAGACCCTCTAACATCTTTGGGGTATGAATATAATACCCACGCCAAGCATGTGATTGTTGAACCGGTATCCTGGTCCTTGGTCCCGACTGACTCTGTCTCTCACCGTGCCAAACATGGACCAAGACTTGGGCCACCCATGGGAACAAAAGAAAACTTGTGGTGTCGTTGAGCTTAGGAGAGTAAACGACACATTTTCTACGTAAATTGGCAGTCTCCGTCATACTGCATACTGCTACGGCGGTGTAGACGTGCATTGGAGCCTCATTCCCCTCGTCACCGCTTACTTTGGGGCGGGCTTACATGGCAGACAATCCATCAGCTCAGCTGAGCTGCGCCGTCGCTTCGGGCCGGACTCTCTCTAGTCTTTCCAACATCACCACTTCCCGGTTCTTCACAAATCACTCTACTACTCCAAATCTTATCCACACGCGACTGCTGGCTATTACAATAGAGACCGCTGCGAAAGCTTGGTAGATTCAGCAACACTCGAGAGATGTACCGTAGGAAGTCTTACGCTTGGTCGGAAAGCAACGCTCAGACTCGACACATGCCTTTCGCAGCTGTCAGTCCACTGCAATTACCTTTCCCCGGATCCCCTTACCTGCGCTGCCGGACAAGTCACAGTTGGACTGCTTATCTCGACTTCATGCTTTCTCTTATCCACAAATCAGAACATCAGACAATTGACAGGAATTGTCCCGACTCGATCTCATCCCAATGTCTCTCTGACATGCTTCTACGCTCCCTCATTACACGTCGTCTCACCGCTCAACTTGACCTCACCTCAACACCACTCATCCAAGACACCTCGCAACCTGCATCACAGATCGTGGCCTCTCTCCTGACGACCGAACACCCCTGCCGTATGGAGCCTTGCCCTCCTCTTGTCCCACTACAGCCTCGCTGCTGGTCCCAACTGCCGCCCGTTGGGCCAACTCATCTCACCCACACCATCCTCAGCCTGCATCCACACACACACATTCACTCACACACCTCTGCTGTCATGTCCACCGCTCCAATCTTCCGCCGACCTTGATTTTCGTCCTTGTAGTTGTCTGGGGAAAGCTTCCGTGGCCCCGCCGCGGCGAGGGCTAAGTTACAAAACCTGCGCGACGCTTAAGCGCTTAGCCTGACTGAGCTCAAGCTGTATGATCCGGCCCTCGCGGAAAGTGTCGTCCGTGATCCGGAATTAAGGATCCAGAAAGACTTGTGGTAGGCATCGAAAGACTGCCATTGTCTACACTACCAGGACACTTCAAGCAGGTACAAAATTTGGATACACACGCAAACACTGCTTCAATCGGAATCCGCTCTACTCTCATCTCTCGCTTTGGCCTTTTTTGCGCTCGCCCATCTTCTAGCAGGCCCCAGTCCCTCACGATGATGATTGACTTAGAAAAGACTCGCTTTTCAGAGCAGCAGCCGGTAGCGGGATGTAGCGTAAGCCACCACGCGTGGCAGCATTTGGGCAGCCCGGGGTCTAGGAGATCGACTCGCTCTCGGTCCTCAACGGGAAAAATGCTCGTTCTGGCCGGTATGGCCGTCCAACCTTGCAGCTCTCAATGCGCCGCTACCATGTGTCAGGCCCACGCTTCGCTGAGCGTACCGGCGCCGTTCTATGCCAGTCATGAGGGAAGGAAAACGCACAGACATCTCTGGATGGCCCATACCACGCTGGAATTGACGGCGCATGCGACTGGACGTCAACCTACACATGACGGTAGCATTCTCTACATCATCATTCCCAGAACTGGACCTCCAAGGCGTTGCACGCAAGCTGAAGGAAGCTGGCCGACTGTCTTACACATGCGCTGGCTGAACCGCAGCGAGCAAAAGGAAACAGCCGGCTGCCCCCTCCAACTCGTGCTTCCGTGCGCCAGCTGCATATTATTATCTGGGGTTTTCCAAAGGACCACTCATTTGCTGGTTCGTCTCTTCTGCCCACCCCCCTACCGCTGTAACTTGTAACTTGTGATGAGTTGCGCTGCACCTCGCATCAAGTAGCCCGACATGCTCCGTGCTTTCTGCCGTGTAACAACGGCACAGGATGTCACTACAGTATAGCTCATCTTCTTCGAGCCTTTCTCAATATTGGTCACTTCCGAAGGCTGAAGGAATGCGCTAACTTTCACCACCTTTTCGAGAAGAAGCGAGGGTTCCAACGACGGTCACACAACTACCGGGCCAGAGCAGCATGCGCATTTTCTGAAAGTCGCAGTCTTACACTTCGAGAAACAAGTGGTTTTCTATTCTTTAGTGCCAATAATTGACAGCGGAGAGTCTCAAAGTAATCAATGTTTTCGCAGCCTCCAACAAGCACGGCGGCACGGTCACAACGACACCCTGGAAATACCAAGACAAACCGGCCCTCAATTAGCCGCGCCGGTCCGAAATGCCTCCATCGTCCGCACTCCCGAGGTCCACATCGGACCATCAAGGCATCTTTCATCTCATCTTTTCCACTCGTGTCCATTAAAACCGGCCAAGAGACACCTACAATCGACCACCAGCCGGGCGCTAGAAATGGTCTCCACCAAAGCCAACACACGATGGGGAGGATAATACCCAATGCTCAGTAGAAAGTCTTCGGCGTATGTTCACCGAGCATGTTCACACCAGAGTTTGTTTTCTGCTTCATTTCCGGTGACCGGAACGTTGGTTGAAATAAGTCTAGCAAGGGTCTCATCATCCGCCGTTGCAAAAGACAAGGATTCACAATCCCAGCGAGCTGGCTGGGTTCATGGGCCTCGATTTATCCGGCCACTCTTTTCTCTTGGGATTGATCACAAGGAGAAAGTTCGGACCATTGATCATGCTCACTGAAGTTCCCAGACGGCCGAGCATTCGTGTTCTGCCAGCATCGAAACATCAACCGTGGATACTGATTTTTGGCTGATGTTGCTGGCTAGGTACTTCAGTATGCTGTCATGGCGATCCCATGGGCCATTACACTCTGACTGCCTGGCATAGTCTTAATTTCTCCCGTCACCATCACATGGTAGCATGGGGTGACGATACTGCGCGGCCTCACCCGCCCGCTGAGCGCGCTGTCATCTTTAATGCCTGTACTCTGTACTCCGTATCACACAATACGACGGCAACTTTCGCAGGAGAATGCTGTGGGTTGGGCCACGCTCATCCTTTTTCTTCGCGAAAAACTCCATACAGATACCCCAGAGACGCAGAGACGGCCGCCGCCCCCTCCACCCTCCCCTTACCGCTGTGCCGTCCCACGACCCCCAACCCCGGACGCAGAAAAGAGGAGGGCTGCTGACCAACAACCCCGGTTCGAAATCTCACACCGAGACGGGAGTCCCCGGAACCGGTCAGCGCTATGGAGGAAGGATGTCATTCCCGCCCGCTCTCCCTTCCCCCCCATGTGACGGTGACATGCCATGTCGAGTTGTCGATGAAGGCGTGAAACGGGCGCAAAGCGCCTCGCTATCGACGCCGGGGACAAGGGGAAACGTGATTTTGGGGTTTGACCGTTCGCAATAGTCGCTTCTTCACTGCCCTTCAGAGGCACAGAGGCGCAGACTGGGGGGGGGGGGGGGGGGGGGGGGGGGGGGGGGCGGGGGGGGGGCGGCGGCGGGGGGGGGGGGGGGGGGGGCGTGGAGTTGTTTTGTGGGGGGGTTCCCGTGGCCCCGTGGCCCCGCGCGCGGGGGGGGGGGGGGGGGGGGGGGGGGGGGGGGGGGGGGGGGGGGGGGGCAGGATTTCCATCGCATCCCGAGGTCTCTTGCCGGCCGAGGGTCGGTATGTCTGAAGTCGGTCCGACATCATCATGTTGGCTTCCCCTTCCCTCTCGCCTTCGAGATGTAGCAGCCATGCTAGACGATGTCTTCTTCGGTGCCTCGGATTCGGCGACATGGCGACAACCCGCCAACCCGGGGACAAGTTATGTGAACCCGTCGTTGTCGTTACTACTAATCCCCCCATCCCCCCAAGCCTGGCCCATCCCATCACATCACATCCGTCCATCGCCTCTCTCTTGCGAAAGAAAATGGCCGATCCCGTGGAAACACGAGCTATCATAAATCAGGGAACACCAGAAGCGCCAGGAATCGAAGGCGATAGCGGTCGATCGCCCGCTTTTTTTTCGTTGAAGAATTCAATGTTTTCTTCCCCTTCCCCCTTTCCCCCTTGCCTCTTTTCTTTGATCCTGTCCCTTCTATCCGGATCCTACCGGTTAGTGAGAGTTGCCTTTTTGTGGTTGGTCCACGGGTTTAGGTGAGGTGAGGTAAGGAACGTAAGGAACGTAAGGAATCATTGGAATGAATGGAACGAAGCGTGGCCCAGTTTACTAGATTTCAGCTGTAAGCCGGGTAGCATGAGAGGGAGGCCGCTCGAGCTGAATAAACTTGATCCCTTCTCTGCTCTAGCTATTGGGGGAAGATGGGCCAAGTCATGTGAGATGATGTCCGGTCGGGTCAAACTACATACAGTACCTTGGGACGTCAGAATATCAAGGCGCTGACTTAGGTTGAGTGTGGTTTTTTTCTTGGACCGCATTGGGGCCATGGCGTTTCGTCCGTCCCATTGTTTGCCTCTACGCATTTGCAGATTACGCTGAGCTTCATTGGAACAAACGCTCCATTGGAACAAACGCGCGATAATAGCAAAAGCAGTCCAACTGTAAAAGGGGGGAAAAGCTAACCTAACTTTGTTAGGACCATTATCAGCGCAACCTCTGCACACGCTTTCGCAACAGACCGCGTTCTCATGGTGATGCTCCTTTTTCTTGCTCTTATAGAGGAAGGGTATATATGTACTTCATAGGTAGCCATCTGGTCCGCTCTAGGCGGACGGGGGGCTCACGTAAACCGCAACTACTCCTATGATATCTCTTTCCTTCTCGTCACGAAAATACCATCATAACTCAAAGTCCTTCTTGGACTCTCTTCTGCCCTCGAGGCTTCGTCGACCTCGAGCCGTTGGTTATGACCCGGAATCATTGAGCCTCCCTCATCGCCTCAGAATACTCCTACAATTTCCATCACCGGGCCATATACGCTTGCTTCCTCCTGCTCAGTCAATGCTGGTCCCCCCTTTCCCCCTTTCTCCCAAATCATAACGCCTGGTAATGCTGTTGCTTGCTTTGATATACAAGTTATCGAAATTACACATGCTATGCCGCCACAGTCTGCCGATTAAATCATAATTGTTTATATCCTTTCAACCTTTCCATAAGAAGAAAAAAAGGGGTATCTCCATGCTTCATCCCCGGCCGTTAATCCAGTCGTCTTCCTCTTCCGTCAAGTGAAGTAAACCCGACATGCGTCACTCAATCGGTCGACGAGTCCTCAACCTCCAGCCTCTTAGCTGCGGGTTCGCTGTCCCCGTCACTGTCCTCGACATCGTACTTTTCCTGCCACAATTTGCGCAGCACCTGGTACAGGAACAAGTACTGCGACTCAGCTTGGACCATGCTGCGGCGCTGCTCGCGGAGGGCATCGACGGTCGCAAAAATAAGGTCGTCGCCCTCGCCGGCACCATCGTAGTCGTCAAGCGCGCCCTCGTCGAGCTCGCGCATCAAGTGCTCCAGAGTGATGAAAGTGCCTGTTCGTCCTACACCCGCGCTGCAGTGGATGATGCGCGGGTTCTCCGAGGTCGTGTTGTACTCGCGCGACAGACGCATGAGCGTGAAGAAACTGGACAAGTCGTCGACGGCGGGGACGCCAAAGTCGGGCCATTTGGTGTAGAGTAGGTGCCAGACTATGCGGTCCTCTTCCTCGTCGCCTACGCGCAGCAGGAGCTTGCGCACCTCAATGGCGCCGTTCTCGAGGGACAGGAGAGAGTCAAAGGTCAGCGTAGCGCTCCAGCCATCGCTCCAGCCGTCCATCTCGTTGATGACCCAGGGTTCGTGCTCTTCGTCCATTGGCAGGTAAGGGTAGCATTTCACCTGGTTGTTCTCGTAGAAGCTGGTAAGCTGTACGATGACGACGGGATCTGTGAGTTGCTCCGCAATCATGCGCCAGACAAAGTCTAGGGAGTTCTCTGTCGGACCCTGCATCGCAATGTAGCGCAAGGGAGGGAGCTCCTTATTCGAGGGAGAAGAGAGGGATATCGTCGAGGCGTTGACGTAGTCGAGCTCTTCTGCAGGCACGCGCAGTTTTATGCGGTTGTGGTTCCAGGGCTTGATGTTGAAGTAACGATCTTGCGGGCCTCTGCGCATGTCAACCTGCTTGTAAGAGCCCCATTTCGTGGTCTCGTCAGCATCGGGAGCCATGCCGGCAGCCAGACGGATGCGTTCCTGCCATACTAGCTCCTGGAACTTATTGTCTAAATCTGCAGGAATCCCAGCAGTTAGTTCCCGACCGGCGCCTCCCAGTCTGCGACGAGACGGAGGTTTCGTACCTGGTACGGAAAGGTTCAAGAAGGCCGGTATTCTCGGCTTGGGCCTGAAGCTTTCGTGGCTGCTCTTCCCGGACGAGGCCGAGTCGTCTTTGCTGCCAGCGCCAACACCACCACCACTGCCATCCTTATCTTTTGGCCTCGGGGACGAGGTGATGCCGTCGTGGGAGACGATCGCGGGGGGCGGCGACTGCGGCAGGGAGGCCGGAGGAGGGGATCGTAAGCGCTTGCCGGAGCTGCGCAGGTGCAGACCGCGGAAAGCGGACTTGCGCAGGCCGGGCTTGGTCGGGGTCGGGGACCGGCCGCCAGTGACGGTGACGGTTGTGGAAGGGTATATTTGCTGAGGCGGCTGTTGTTCGTCGATGCCGTTTCGGGACGGAGAGGTCTTTACGTCTGTGGTGGAGATTGTCGGGATCTTTGGTTTTCTGCGAAACTTGGGGAGGTGGTCCATTTTGAACCCAGCTACCGTAGTGCGAGACGTGGCGAAGGAGCGTCGGGTGAAGCGAAGTGGACGAGTCGGATGGAGCGGCGGGAAAGCGACGAGACGCAAGGCAACGAGAAGGGAGTACGTTTGCTCAACAGTGAGGCTGACGAGCGTGAAGTTGTGGTTTTGCAGCGGCTGGCTGGGGGCGTGGCGCGAAGGGTTCGGGTTGGTTATGTACTATGGCCGTGAGCCTGTGAGGTAGGCAGGAATGTCGTCAGGGTTTTTTGGCAGGCAGGGCGCGGGCGAAGGGCGGCACACGGCGGGCACCCTACAGGAAAGTCTTTCTTTTTTTGGAATTCGGGGGCGGCCCAGCAGGTCGGGCAGCTGCAGCAAGTACTCCGTGAGGTACCTTAACGAGCAACAAGCAAGCGGCCCAGCAGCAGCTTTAAGCGCGGGTTGGGGTAAGACGTTCGGAGTATTAAGGGGAATTTCGTCCTTCTTGTTGGTTGGCTTGTGTCGTCCAAAAGGGGATGGACGTGTGTGCGTGTGTGTGTAAGGTGTGTTTATGCACGTGTGAGAGAGTTAGAGTCAGAGAGACTGTGTGAGAGCGTGAGAGAGAGGGGTGGCTGAAGGATGAAGTTTTGTTGTGAGGAAGAGTCGTGCGTTGGGCGTCGTGATAATTAAACAGCAAGTACGGAGTATGGAGCTAAAGAAGAAGAAGAAGAGTGGTCCGTAGTAATAATAAAGTAGTAGTGGTGGGTGGTGGTAAGGAGAGAACGGAACGGAACGAAACTAAAGATGAAAAGTGTCGTTCCTGGCGATCTAAAGTGGTCGCATGGATGGACCTCTGAGGGGGAGTGGGAAAGTTCGTGCGTCACGAGTCCGAGTTTGGTTGTGTGGTTGTGTCACTCGGGAGGCACGTGCCGAAGGATGCCCGTCAGGAGATGCCAGATGGGCAGAAATGCAGGGTAGCGTGGTCTTTTGTTGCTGTTATGGGTGACCAAGGTGTAGTAGTGCTGCGCGGATAGTAGTACCTCTTGAAAAGACTTGAGAGAGACGAGAAAGAAGGAAGGAAAGATGAAGAGAAGAGAGATACAGAGCAGTAGATGGAAACAAGAGAACCCGTTACCCGAGGAGGGCTCGGAAGAGGAAATTGCCACGATGAGAAGAAGGTAGAAATTTTGATTGTAATAATAAAAAAGGCGGGTATCCGTTCGGATTACGGGTACTCCAACGAAGATGCTCTCTTCCTCCCTCTCTCTCTTTATTTCTCCCCTTGTCGGTTCCCCGGGAACTGGGAGCGAACCTAGTCCAAGTGTCCCACCCCACGGCGGAACGCGAATTAGCAACCTGGAAGCGGCAGACGGCTAAGGCTAGCAGCTAAGCAGAGTAGCAGAGAAGTGGGAGACGATGGGAAGAGGTGTCAACATGAGGCGTACATACAGACTCGCAAACACACCGTCCTTGACAGAAAGAATAGGAGGTCGCGGTAAGACGGTCCAGATGTTGGGTGATTCCCTGGAGTCCTCCTGCGTAAGGAAAAAGAAAGAAAGGTAGGTAAAAGTCCACTCCCCCCGTTGCAACGCTCTGTTTCCGCGCCGAAGGAAGGCAACCGACGGGGGGAGGACATCGATTGGGCGAGAAGAATCGAAGCCGAATCAGCGTTCCATGGATCAAAGGTCGAACCGGCGATGCAAAGTCGCCATTGTAACAGGGGGTGGCAGCAGAGCAGGGGGATGAACGACATCTGGATCGAACATTGGAACGTTTGCCCATGTTCTGCAATCTCGGGCAGTGCAGCCAGTGCACGGCTTCTTGGTCCGCCGAATCCTCGGGAGACCAATGAATTCTAACGGATACGTACCTACCTTACAGGCTATACTGAGGTAGTCATTCTGGAAGGCGGGGTGGGGGGGGGAGGGGGAGTCCCTTGCCCCTGCCCCTTCCGCCTGCGAAAGTACGGATACACTGCTGTGTAAATGGAAAGAGAGACCTGGGAAGGGCCCACTGTTTTCTTTGCCTTAGCCTCCCGCCCTGCCGCCGCGTCCCGAGGAACTGGAAGCACCGCTGCACTGCGTGCCTGCCTGCCCGCTGTTGAGGCTGCTGCCACCGTTCCACCGTACCACCTTCCCAGGCAATGGAAGGCAAGGCCAGGAACCCAGCAGGTTCTTGCCTTTGATTCAAGGTTTCTGTCAGGTTCGAACCGCGCTTCGAAACGGAAAGGGGGCCACGCAAGTTTTGAACGGTTACACCGTCGGCAGTTCCGTCTACCACGGTTCATGAAGGGAGACGGATGCATACCTACCGTATTCTTGTCACCGTCCGCGTTTGTGCTAGAATTTCTAGCTGAGTGAAGCTCTAACACGGCAGAGAATCAAGCTTCGAGCCAGCGAGTCTACCTTTCCCCCATGACGGCTGACGGCCGCTGTCGCTAAAAACCTAGGCGACTAGGTAAAACCTTACCTCTCTTGCAGAACTTGGTTGTAGCATAAGAGGCGCGCTTATTGGAAATATCGGGTCCCATTCTCGGATCGTCCCATTTGTCCGGCCTGCGCCCGACGATATCTGGTTTCTAGAGTTTGAGAGTCTGCCGATCACCTGGACGCGCTATCGAATCAGCCGCCCGTACCTTACAGATCAGGTAGATGCCCGATGTGCATGCGTATCTGTACGGAAACACATACATACATACTCTACCTCTCCATGCGTTGCCCAACTCTCTCTCCACCGGCTAACGCAAGTTCGTTGAATAAAAGTCTGTACGGAGTACGGATACTGAGTAGCACCAGGAAACCGTTCCTCGTCACGCTTGCTACTGCAGGCCAGCTGCAGCAACTTAGTAGCGTAGCCCCCCCGTGCCCCCCTCTTGGCCGTTGGGCATGTCAGAGTCAGGCACGTCGCATTTCTCTCTAGCGTTGTTCTGGGTGGCGCTACCTACGGGATAATAGATCCTAATGGCCCGCCGCCCGCCCGCCTCAGCTGACGACTAACGCGCACCCTCCCCGCTCCCGTCTCTCCCGCTGTGCGTATGCGGGATTGTGTTGGTTCGGGGGTTTTCCGACCTTTCGTGTTCAGCTGTTGGGGGAGGGTGTGAGAGAGTCATGTCGTCGCGTTGCATCCGGGTTATTGGCCCGTACGAGGGGAAGGGAAAGGGAAGGCGAGGTGCTAAGTTTAGCTGCGAGCATTCATCCCTACAACTTAGACGTTGTTGGTTCCTTCATCTTGTCGACGTATTGAGTATCGCTCTTGTTCAGCTGAGTAGCTGACTGGCTTACGTTGAGTATGTCCTCCATCGAGTCATAAACCTGGAATGCAACCAAGGCCTTCTGGAAGAAGTCTCGTTCGGGTAGAACTTCCTCCGCGACTGATGGGAGAGAACCTGTCACTTCTTCAAGCCGGCGTTGCCAAGACCCGGCTATTGAGGTAAGTGTAGTACACCACTACCTACAACACACCTGCTTGGGACCGCCGTCATCTCAGCTTTCCGGCAGAGTTTCTCTTGCGCCGCCAGAGTGTATCCGATAGACCACCCACTCCATTTCTGACAGGTAACGCGCGTCAAAAGGACAAAGGGTCAACGGCTACAATTACTATGACTATGACTGTGTGAATATGACATGGATACGGATTCTCGGATAACCCAGACTCGATACCTGTCCACAGCGTCTGACCAGCAAACCCGAAGATTTCTCTCTTCTGAATCGGACAGGTAGATAGATAGACATCATTCGATGGAACGGAAATCTGAACAGCGGTCCCCCCCCTTTTTCCCCCTTCTCTCCGTGGTTCGAAGCCACCTGCCAAGCCATAGATCAGACTTCAGATGATTCACCATCCTGCGCTAGACAAAAAGAAGCAACATCAACGCCGATAAACGGCAAAACCCCGGGTCCAACACATGGATCGAGGTACATGTAGGTAGCTTGTCAAAAGATTGCGATAAAGTGTGAGTTGAATTTCCTTGCCAAGATTTCTGGCGCGTTTCGATGCGGGGAATATAGAGTCTCTCCGATATATCGACGAGATGCTCCGCGGATGACCCGAGTATGGTTTCTGAGAAGGTCTCCGAGGAAGCCTTGGAGCTTTCTCCCTGTATCTCCCCTCTTCCTATAGTTGTAATTACAAGGTTTTATATCCTTACAAGCTGTGAAAGCCACCCGATACCTAATAGTACAGTTCATCGCGCCCCTCTCATTCGTGCGTTGGTAGCCGATTTAAGAGACGACGACGACGACGCCCGGCCAAAAGTCATGAAACATGCCACAATAGCCGCCCATTTGAAGCCCATTCCGTCGTTCTACCCACCCCAAAGAGCCTCTTCAAACAGCAGAGTACGCGGCCGTCACGAACCGCCCACACTCCACCCTCTGCTCCAGACTAACCTTCCTGCCCTTGCCGTCCTTACCCAGCCGGACCGTCTGCCGCGGCGTGAGCTGGAACCGGTGCACCTCGCCCCCGCGACCGTTGACGGCGTCCCCTGCCCCACCGTCCAGGGCGCCAATGTACGCCGGCGCGTTGAGGTTGCTGCGCTTACCCGTGCCGAGCTGGTAGTGCTCGTTGCCGCCCCAGAAGAGCACGTCAGCGCCCCAGTTGGTGTCATTGTCCGAGGACCGCGTTGTCGCGCCCGTCCGCGTGACGTTGTCCATGGTCGCCGAGACGTGCGTCGCGCCGACAGAGACGTTGGCGAGGCGGATGGGGGCCATGCGGTTGGCCTTTTCGTCGAACTCGAAGAGCGAGGAGAGGGCCTTCACTTTTGCCGGCCCCGGGGTAACGTGCGTCCACTTGCCGGTGCCTAGGGATCCGTAGACGCCCTGACCGCAGGCCCAGAAGTCGGCCGTGACGCGCGGCATGCGGCGGGCGGGGGCGATGTCGCCGGTGACGGACGCTGCTGGTGCGAAGGGGTTCTCGTTGACGGCTTCGGTGGCGTCTACGGTGAAGAAGGTGTTGTTGCCGCCGGCAGAGATGGAAGTGATCATAGGGACGAGGCCCGTGTTGGCGTAGAGTTTGGCGGTGGGGAGGAGGGAAGGGACGTCGACTCTCTGGTAGCCCTGGTCCGCCGGCAGGCCGAGCTGGCCGTACGTGTTGTCGCCGAATGTGAAGAGTTTGCCGTCCTTGTCAAGGGCGGCGGAATGGAAGTCGCCGGCGGCGATCTTGGCGATGGAGAAGCCCGAGAGGCCGGTGATCTCCTGGGGCTGGTCAAAGGGGCCGGCCGGGCGGGACGTCCAGCTCAGGCCGGGGATGCCCATCTGGCCCTTGGAGGGGTACTCTGCCGTGCTCGAGGCCGCGGAGAAGACGCGGCCCTTTGAGGTGAGGAGGAGGCTGTGCTGGAGACCGCTGCTGATGTCTGTTACTTTCTCACCCCAGGCGAGGTTCTTGGGGGTCAGGTCTCTGGCCTTGACGGACTGAGATTCGGGCGAGCTCCAAAAGGGGATCCAGGATGATGATGACTGCTGAGGCTGCTGTAACTGCTTTCCTGCTGCGAGGCCGGTCTTTGATGCCGGGACCGAGTATACTGATCCGCTGGAGGTGAGTGCGATGATGCGGTCGTTGGAGATGGAAATCTTGGAAATGTCTTTGCCCTTGAGCGTCTCGACGGGCGAAGGATCAGTATTCGAGAAGCCCAGGCCCCATTGGACGAGATCGCCCTTCTCCGTGACAGCAGCGCCAAAATCTTGACACAGTTTGATGTCCCTCAGCAGCTGGCCGTCGAAATACTTGATCCGTCTCGGGAGCTTGACGAGAGTCTCCTTGGATTGTGGGTCAATCACTTTGCCAACGTTGCTTCCCCAGGCATACACGCCCGGGTTCTCCCAGCTCTGCTTGACCTGGAGATGCTGCGAGCTAATGAGATCGCGGTTCTCCTCCTTTGACTGGGCCGCCTTCCTCGCCTCCTCAAACTTGATCTCGGCCTTTTGGTACTTTGGCTTCCGCACGTCGGGTGATTCCTTTTCAACCTCGGAGCCAAAGTATTGCTTCAGGGGTCCGTTGAAGTAGTCGTCGGCATAGTACAGGACACCAGCAGTTCCTGCGGTCAGAAGCAATGCCTTTCCCTTGCCCATGCCCGACCTATCACCAGCCCGGCGAGGCCCGGAGCTGGCGTAGCGACGAGCTACAGCAGCGCATCTCTGGGCTGTAAGAGAAGTGCCTGCGTTGCGTGCAGCTGCCCTGTAAGCCTTCATTTTCGGGCTCACGAGAGTTGATTGGACAAAATGGTATCAGTGCAATTATGTTTGGGATGATGAGAGCATTAAGTAAAGGATTGCAGTGAGATGAGAAAGAAAGGCCCTTCCTGGGTGAGGAAGTGAAGTGAGGTGAGGTGAGGTGTAGTCGCTTACAGGTCGTGAGGTCATCAACGAAAACTAAAACTTCGATTCGCCCAGCACTTAGCTTAATCTGCTCAGTAGACTTTCCCGAACCCTTGCCAGTGCAGGGACCGTGCGCCCCGCTGCGGGTGAGCATGCGGGCCCCACTTTGTACCTCTGAGCTCCAACCGCTCGCAATTGGGGCCAATGATTTTCCGCCCAGTTTACGCCCAAGGGAGCTGAGCTGTCCCGTTTGGAGCGGTGGTGGGAGCCACCGACCCGGCGCCATATCGGGGCCCTCTTCACGCCAGAGCTTCCCTTCACTCTCAACCCCAGTCCCGGAAGCCCCTCCACGACTTTGAGGCGAAGCTACGATGTACGACGATTCTTGGTACAGCTTCGTGCCGGAGGTGGCCAAGAAAGCTAGCACGGCTGCCCAAGGCCCAGGCCATCGTCGCAAAGAGTCGCTGTTGCAACAGTCCAATGTTAGCTCCCAAACCCCACTACCGTCACCATAACCATCACCACCGCAACGGCGTGCTGACAGTTGATGTTACCATAAGGGTATTCCCCAAGCTTCTAATGCGCCAGAGGCTCTCGACGAAATCTTCGAAGAGATTGAAGACCGAAACACACCCCCGGAAGCCGAGGTCTTGCGCCGCGCAAAGTCCTATTCGGACTTCTACCACGTCGTTCGGGCCCAATTAGCTAAGGATGAGCAACACAAGAGGCGCAGGCGGAAGAAGGAAAAGACATGGGATGCGCTAGATATTGCGACAGACGTTGCCGAATCCAAGACCGGACCTCGCCCGGTTCATCGCCAGTACGAGGGGGAACTGCTTGAGGCTAGTCAGCAAGAATACCTGTGAGTAGGGAACAGCTACGCACGAAACTTGCCCTTTTTAATCACTAGAGCAGACTGTACAAGGACCAACTGACGCTCACCGAACGGCATCTCGACATGCTCATCGACGATACCAACCAAGCGCTCAAGCTGTTGACAACATTGTCTGAATCGTTCCAATCCGTCGAAGCACAGACGAGTTCGTTCCAGTCGCAGTGCGAGGACCTATTGTCGGAACAGCACAGGCTCGAGAAACTTGCAGACGAGGTCGGCACTGATCTTCACTTCTACGCATACCTCGATAATGTCTCTAGGAGACTCAATGCTCCTGGCGCTGGACGTCTGGTTGATGATGAATCTTTCGGCGAGATCTTGAGGAACCTAGATTCTTGTATCGGCTTCATGTCGAAACACGTGAGTATTTCTGCGATGAAGGGTATTCGCGAATCGAGGTTGATTGACAAATCTAGACGACGTACCGTGACGCCGAGTCCTATCTGGCTCGATACGAGGCTTTGCTGACCAAGGCACTCCATCTTCTCGAAGTCGGTTTCACCAATAGACTGGAGAGCATCTCCTCCGAGATCGCAAGCCAGATTGTTGGCACCAAGTCCGAGGCCACCCGTCATGCTTTGGCATACGGGCGTTTCGAGGAGATGATCCTTGATTCTTACTCTCTAATCCCTAATATCCACAAAGTGATCAACAGCGTGTACGACGAATACGGGCTTCCGATCACTGGCGTTGCCAAGGACATCTACTCGAATACCACGAGCAATCTCTTCAGCTCTTACCTGGCTGTTCGAGACCGCGACTTGAAGCCCATAGTGCAGCACGACCAGGACGAGTTCAAAAAGGAGATCAAAGATCTTTCCGTCGAGACAGCTTCGAGGAATTACATCAAGCAGAGCTTCGAACGCGCGTTCAATGAAGCCAATCTATTCGCCAAAATCTTCGGTCTGGATCTACAGTGGAGCTCCGATCCGGAGTCGGCATATGGGGTCCTCAAGTCTAACCAGAGGTCGCTCGTCAACCCCGCGAATCTCGTCCAGTTGGCCGCCAATCTCAATGCTGCACTGCAGACTGCGGACCTCGATACGATCTGTAGTGTGGTCGGCTGGCTGACCAATGAGTATCTGGTTCTCGACTACGACGAGGAAGAATCTCCCTTCGCGCGTCAATGCCGTGAACTCAGTGCCAGACTCTTGACCGAACATTTATGGGTCTTTACAGACAACGCATTTGAGGCGGAGATCACAAAGACGATCGCCAAGGCCACGGTTAAAGATGAGTCTCTTACTATCGGCCCAGTGGTCGGCGGCGTTTCTTCTTCAAATGCCTTCCCCCCAGTTAAGCAAGCGCTCAAGCTTTTGGCCAAGTATGACCAAGCCATGCCCAAGGAACGAAGTGTAAGTTTATAGCCCCCGGGTATCGACTATTTGGAGTGGAATTAATCATCCCACAGCAAAAGAACAGCCAGGTCATCTTCAAGATCGTCCGGGAAACTATTCAGATACTACAACGCGCCGAGGCGCGGATCAAATCCATCAAGGCAGGCACGGACGCCGATCTGTTCATGGTGAAGAACCTCCTCATCATCAAAAACGAGCTCGTCTCTCTAGAAATTGGAGACATCCGAGGCGACACGGCCGCCATGCAACATTTCGGTCACATCTGGGACAACCTCAGCCCCCAGAACTGGATGGGTTTCGTCAGCAACATCATTGGCGGCTCCCTTTGGTCCCGAGGAGCGACGGCAGGCGCGGCGACTGTCACCGCCAAGACGTTGACGGTCGAGGACATGAGCGAGCAGCTGGACGAGCTGCTGAGGCAGTCTATTGTCGCCTTCACGCAGCGCTGGGGCGGACTGACGAACGATGCAAGGGCTAGGAAACCTGGTGTCAAGCCCATTGGCAAGGTCGAAAAGGAGCTGGATGAGGTGCTGTTGAGGGCTTTTAGCAATCAGCCCGAGGTGATTGCGAAGCTGAAGGAGGCGATTGAGATTAATGCGCAGGCGCAGGAGAAGGCGCAAGAGGAAAAGAAGGGAATTAGAAGGTACTGACGGGTTTATCGATGACCGTACTTAACAGAGGTACGTATGGTCGAGAGTGAAATGAGACACCTGGTGAAATGCCATATTCACATGTTGCTTGGTCTCAGGATTCCCACATTTGACAATATTTCATCTCATGAGTATCTTCGTAGAGAGCATTGAACTTCAGATGGCAGGCTATCATTTTTCTCGGTTCTAAGTGCCCAACCTCCATGACCCCAGCTAGCTTTCAATGCTGCACCTCACGTCCGGGACAGCGGAACATTGAGTGTTAAAGCCATAAGCAAGCACCGATGTTGGGGTGCGGCACGCGGTCAGCGCCAACCTGGGCGCAGTCAGCAGTTGCCTTGTTCTGCATGCCGCCTGATGAACCGGCTGCAGTCTGCAGATGATGTGTGTTCTTGCCGCGCCACTTGAAATGTCACCCTCCTCGATCCAACACGGCAGTTCACTCGAGGATCACTCTTGACTTTTCTCGTTCCTTGACCGATTCTACTCACCAAATTCTTCGTTCATTCACAATTCCGGGAGGGGGGGATCCGCGAACATGCAAACGCCGCCTCTATGACGATAAGACATTTGTGGTACAAACCATGTCTTCTCATGAGTACCTTGACTTGTGCCACGAGGTTCACAATTTATTCTTGGGGCACCTGAAGCGGAAAAACAGCGAGAGTCTACGTTTCGCCACCCGCGAGACACCGAAAAGTGTCTTGAGCCCGCACTATCTCCGACTCTTTTTCCACAGCCTGATCGGCGGAGAGACACCCAATGAACGCCGATTTTCCATTACAGAGAACCAATTTGTTGAAAATGTACAGGGTAGGGAGTTACACAAATTCCTCGCAATACTCGTCTTTGCCGGCTGTCGTATAGAGGCAGCCAGGAACTTCACAGAGAAGCTAGCTGCTGTTACCGAGTGGCCGCCGCCCGAGGACTGTGAGATCTCTAGGCGCGTGTGTTCGTTACCAGCCGACCGTCAAAGCTTGACGGAGTTCTTTGACGGGGACGAGGCGACAGCCGATAAGTTCTATGGATCACAGGCCCTATTCTGTACGGTGGTGCTTCGGCAACGAGAGGAGACTACGATACAAGACGGTGATACCCAGCGCCTACCGTACGTGGAAGAGGAGCTTCTGGGCTCGGGCTCATTTGGAAGAGTGTACAAGGTGAAGATTGCCAAGGGGCATTTCGAAGACCGCCGCAGAAATGACAACAGGGAACGATGGGTGGCTCGGAAAGACTACATTGTCAGGTCGTCTTCGGATTCCGATGTTGAAAGTAGGGAGGAAGGCGAGATCATGAAGATGATTCTCAGCTTGTCAAAGACGTGCGAGAACATTATGGAGAATCTGGGGACGTTGAACATCGAGTACCCAACGGGCGCCAGCCCGGCGCCGTACAGCCTCTTCATGCCGCTCGCGGTCTGCGACCTGGGAGCGTACATGAAAAAAGACGGTTCGAACGCTCCAAAGACAGCTATCAACAGGGCGGGCTTCATTCGGTCCGCAATCGGTCTCGCCAACGGTCTCAAGTTTCTTCACGAAGAAATGCAGACGCCCGGCCTCGACAGGATCGTCTGTTACCACATGGATCTGAAACCGAGCAACGTCCTCATTTTTCGAGAAAGCGGCAATGGCGATGGGACCGGGCCCCGCTATATCTGGAAGTTGAGTGACTTTGGCATGTCAAGGGTCAAGATTCGACATCACACCAGCCGTGAGGAAGAAAAGGATATCGCCAAATGGTTCACCAAACGACGCGATATGCAGCAGAGGACGATGTCAGGAACACAGAATCGACGCGGCCAGGGGACGTATCTACCACCCGAGTCGTTCCGTGAGGGTAAAGTCATGAATACGAGAAGCGACGTGTGGTCACTGGGCTGCATTCTGAGCGTCCTCTTCGTTTATCTCGAGGGCGGAAAGAGCGCCATCGACAATTACGAGACCAACCGTCTCAAAAACCGTAGAGGCATCGATGCAAGCTACGACGTCTTCTTCCACGTCAAATCATTCGGACGCACTTCTGTGCATTCGGCTGTAAAGAATGTTCATAAGCAACTAATTCACAAAGCTGCCGCGAGAAGCGTGAAAGAACATCATGCAGTCCGGAGCATGCTCAGTTTTCTCGGGTCCAAAGTATTGAAGATTAATCAGAACAAGAGATGCAGCGCAAAAGAGGTCGAAAATATGCTGCGACGCACGCTCGACGCGTATGAGGAGATTGATCGGCTCGAATCTTCCTCAGAGTCTTTGAGACCGTACGTAGAGCTATGAGCATCATTGAAGTCACTCGAAACAGAGTGCTAACCCTTTCCAGGCCCAAATCCTCTATGGAGCAGATTGTGCAAAGATGGCGCATCCCGCGAGACAATTCTGATGTTTTCAAGGGTTGCAAGGTGTCACCGGATGGAAGTATGATCGCGTACTGGAGCGACAGCAAGATTTCACTCTTTGCCCCAAGTTCTGCCGAGAACGCAGATGGAGAATTCCTAAAGGTACTCGGGGATCACTCTTTGGAGTCTTTGGGATCGACGAGCCGTTTTTGGAAAGCTATTTGCTTGACTAACAGATATCTGATTGCCACAACCACGGGTAACATCTTCAACGTAGGTTTCAATTTCAGAGTTCCTATTCATGCTGCTGACCTTCGATTTGGCAGTGTTACATATTCGATCTAGGGCAAGGGGCTACAGCCGACTCAAGCCCACAGAACCATTGGCACATTCGGCTTCCAACCGTTCCGGAAGTATACATCATGGCGATGTCAACCGATCAACAGAACTTGGTCTTCGTAGTGGAGAACCAGGAAGACGAGAGCCTATCGGGATCCATATTCCATGTGAGAATCGAGGATCTGATAGAGTGAGTCTCCTACGCTTATCTACTTGCGTCTAACTTGCCAGTATTCGTAATCAGTTGGCTGACCGCGAGATCAGGATGGGATCTATCTCAGAGGGATATGAGATAGAACAGTGTGGCAGAAACCTGTTGGGCCGCTTCATCGCACTCGACTGGCCTGCCGAAGATGTGATGTCTTTATCACTCACCAGCCAGAACCGCTGCTACGCGGCGATTCGCCCGTACCTTAGAAACGATGACATACATCAAATGCCTGTTGTTTCATATTCTCTGACAACACGAGATATAGAGGAAGTATCCATCGAGCCGCGGGTGAGTCCCCCAGTTGTTTGTATCTATATCACCAGGGAAGCCATATTACTGACCCAATTACGTCTCGCAAGAGCCAAGAGAGCAACGGCTCAAGTCTATTCACGACATTTGCTGGTCTACACCAACAGGCAACTTGTATTATCGTGTCCCGAGAAACCCGTCTTTTCACCGTTGATCTGCTAGCGAACTCATCTAACTCACCGACGAGGCGATCCCGATACCCCAACAACATTGAAGGTTACCGCATCCTCAGAGTCATGGTCAACCAGAACGACGATGCCATTTTCGCACTGGGAATCAAACGAGATGGTGGTCGGATTCGTCTGCTTGAGATCATAATACCCGAGATGGGACGCCCGGTGTCTGTTCGCGAATTGGCTCAGCTACCCAGTCTATCTGAAGACGACGAGTTCACCGGCAATATCGTTGGCGATGACGGCAGCAGACATATCCTCGTCACTGCCCTTGTGGGACCCAGTCGGCACGCCGTCTTCGAGATTAACCTCCCTGGCAGCCACGCTACATCCGCAGGCCCGGGGCGTTCCACCTGATTAAACCTCCAGGCTATTTAACTCGACGTCCTTGTCGTCGTGCTGCCTACGATACAACAACCTGCGCCAGTCCAGGTCTCTCATCTCCAATATCTTAGCGTTTAGGTAGCTTCCTTCACGCATCGCGTAGTACGTCGCAAAGGTTAGCGTCGTGAGTGCTACAGAGCAGAGCGCATATATCCAAATCATCGGACTGCCGACAATCTTGCCAGTCATAGTGTCCATGTCAAAAAAGTTCATTCCAAAGAATGTCTGTCACGTAAAGGGTTTAGCAAGCTACCATGAGCGTCCGGGCAACGGAGAGAAGGAGGGGTGGGTGATCAGGCAGGCAAGCAAACACTCACAGCTATAAACGAAGGCGGCAAGTAAAGCAGCGTCAGTGTAGTAATAAACACCACCGACTTATTCAATCTCAACATGTTCTCATTCTGCTTCCTGGAATCGAGCTGTTCCCGGAATGAGAGCGTGTTGGCCAGCAGCTGCGACGTCGTTTGCGCGCGGTGGTGCAGGTCCGCCGCCGTCCGCGAGAAGGCTCTGCACTGGCGGCGGAAGTTTTCAAACTCTGATGCTGATTCTTGTAATACTTCGTTGTCTGCATTCTCCATGGATGATCCCTTTGGCAGCAGCAGACTGTGGCTGCAGAGGGCAGATAGCTCCGACAGCGTCTCCTCGGACGATTCCAAGATTGATGAGATTGTCTGGAACCGGTTCGCGAGGCTGGCTAGTTTTGTGAGATGGCTTGCTTTCATTGTGGTAGGTTCGTCGATGAAGTTGATTAGTGTTTTGTATGACTGTTTTGTAGCATCAAGTATTAGGCTCGCAGAGCTGACTTGGAAGGCGCGTTTCTTGGAATCGAATCTCTCACCAACGGTAGAAACTGCCGCTCCATTGAAGCAATGTAGAACCTCCACGCGGGCAAATATGTCTCGAAGACGAGTTTATGCAGCCAGACATGATCGTGCGTCTCGGTCTCGGAGCCTGCTGCGCCATTCCTGCTCGAGAGCCATTCGATGGCTCGGTTGCTGGCTTGTGAGTCCGGCGTCGGGTTGATCATGACGAAGAGACTCTGACGAGACGCCGCGTCGCAGCGGTGGTATACACCCGTCTGACGAATCACCCACGTATCCTCTTCGGGTTTGTACTCGGGGTATCGAATTGTGTACGATGCTTCTGTCAGATTGTCAGTCCCGGGTCATGTTTCCGGTAAGATGGATCTCGGGAACTCGAAAGCATGTACACACCGACCACGGATCCCTTTCGCCGCTCGGTATACGGCATACAAAACACCTCTTCCACGTTCATGTTCCGCGTGTAGAAGCACGAGACGATATCCCGTAACGAGCCGTTCAAGCTGAGTTTCTCCATGACGAGCTCGAACATGGGGAGGGTGATCTGTAGAGGCCTCCATGAGTTGCGCTGGCAGATTGAGCTTTTGCATGACGTTAGCAAGGCTAGGAGGGTTGAGAGGGGCTCCCGCAACGACGACGATGACGGCCTAGAGTGAAACGTACATGAAATGATGGATATTCTCCTCGCTGCGGCTCTGTATGTCGTCTAGGCATACGCTCAGCTCGTCGAAGTTGGCGATGGCACGCTGCTGGTGCTTGACCTTGGCGACCCTCTCCTCCTCACCATCACTACCGCCCTCCGCTGGCAGGCGCGTTACGCTGCAGATGCGGATGGGCTCGATGACATCTTTGACGAAGCACTCTTGTTGCGTCGGCGCCATGGACGTTGCGGGACAACGCCGGTGTGACAGGGAAGGCTGAGGTAAGGATGTACATGTAAGGAGGAAGGGATGTTGGCGGTATGCTGCTTTCTGCTGCTTATTATGTACTTTGATCTGCTTCCACTGTAAGGCTATGAGAACTGTCTACCCCAACGGCGATCTGCCGCCTGCCTGCCTGTTCCTCCTGAGTTCCAGCCAATGCTGACGCTTGCTGGCATGTCACTATGCTTGCACTGCCCATCCATCCCCTGGACCACCATCCCCTCACTCCCCCCCATCGGTCAAAGTCATTGATCTCGAACCGCACTATCAACTCTCGTCAGCATATTTTCTTTCTTTTCCAATTTCGAAAGTATCCGGCAGATTCCTACTCTATCGTGTCCTGTAATTCTCGTCAGCATCGAACTCCCCAAACAAGACTTTCCCCGTTGAAGGGGGGCTTCGAGCAAGAAAAGACATACGGCATCAACTTCCTTCGGCGCCTTGAAATGCCAAACATCATCCCTCATCTGCGGCAGAGCAAAGTCTCAGTAAATCTCATTCTCGATCGAACGCACCCCGCGGCGAGGCAAGGCAAGGCGAGGCATACATACCTCAATCTCAAAATCAGTGTGCCCCGGGAAGATCTTCTCAAGGAGCTGCTGGAGGCTAGCCTTCTTCAAGTACCGACTGGTGACGTTTTGAGCGACTTGCTGCTGTCGTTGCGTCATGATTGTGAAATGGGACTTTTTTCTGGCTTGCTACAAGGTAAGTCCAGTCCATCGCTTATCGAGATAAAACCATCACAGAGGCCTTGTGGGGGGAAGACGAAGTTAGAAATACAGCGTTGCGGGTGCAGCAAGACGCGCCGTTCTGGGGGGATCCGGGGAAGGGAAGAGTCGTCAGACAGCGTGGCATTGTTGCCATAGTCCTTCCAAAACCCACAGCCACCTTCAAGGAAACAACACACCGAAGAGTTTCAGACACTTCGCTGCCTATCAAGTCCTGGGCCCTGGGTTCCGGGGTTCTCTAGGCCGCAGTTCGCGCTCCATCACACCATCACCGCGCAAACGTGAAAGGCTGTAGGCTGCGTCGGGTTACACCGCATGACGAAACCAAGCCCATCCCACCGACCTGGATCGACGCTCAGCAGATCAAATCCGTGATCCTACAGAACCTGCATATATTTCGCCACTAGAGAAACACCACAAGCTGAGCCCCAGAAAGTTTCTTGTTCCCCGAGTCCTAGGAAGTCTTTATGCTCTCCTTAGTAGGCTGGGGTCCAGAACCTCGAACGCATTGGTAGCCAAACCCGTATCATCCAGGGCAGGGCATCGACATGTGGTTCAAGAAGACGGCGAATGCGCAAGTAATATAGAACATTGATGAAATGTATCAATGAGCCTCGCTTCGTAGGACTACTCCCTTAGAAGCGTCCTGAGTAGACCATTAGTTGAGTTATACACGGGCCGAAGACGAGAATGGTTCAGACTTGAGCCCATTCCAGCATTCACAAAGTCAACGAAGTGAGGCCAGGTATTTAAGTGAATTCGGGTATCATTTGAGTTGGTTTCCTAACTAAATCGCTGAAGAGAAAAACGCCTCGAAGGTGCCTGCTACTGGCTGTGTTCGCTGTTTTTCAAAAACCTCAACGGACGAAGGATGAAACAATGGTTTCCAACATGATGAGGGATATATCGCGCCAATCTATCCCAATGAACCAAGCGCCACGCGATGCACTTCCGACGGCAGTCCGGCTTGTTCTTCCAAACACAAGCCATTTCTGCTCAGCTCGCTCAACGCACCTTCTCCTCAACTTGAACCGCTCTCCTCCCGGCCACTGCTGTAGCCGCTCTCCGCCCCACCTGCAGTGGCGGCTGAACTGCCGGCGGCAACTGGAAGTTCAGCACTATTGCTGCGACCTCTGGCAGTTCCGGCGGCCGCAACCGCACTGCTGCTACTGGTGCGACGGAGATCCCGAGGGGGAATTGGGATCTTGAAGTCGGCTCCGCTATCTTCATCTTCTACAACGCCTGCCATCTCATCTCCATTTTCCGGCTCGCTGTCGCCCTCGTCGCCGCTCGACATCTGTGCATCGTCAGGATACTGTCTGTCAAAAGTAGGGGCGTGAGCTTTTACAACGCCCCCTACCTTTGAATCATCGTCCGAGTTGGACTCGTCATCATCATCGTCGGAGCTGCCAGAGCTGTCGCTGTCGAAGTCGAAGTAGAGACCCGGCGGCGGCAGAGGCGTAGGGTTAAGCTTCCGAACAGATTTAGACGTGTATTCGATGTTGATCGGTGATTTCTTGAGACCCTCGGACTTTGCTGATTGTGCCTGGGACCCGGAAGACCCAAGCGGCGATGTGATTCTGCTCATTAACTTGGAAAACTCCTCAGACTCTAAGCTGATCGTCGTTTCCTGCTTCACATCCACCTTCGGCCTCTTCGTGGTGGCGACCACAACAAAGTGGTCATCAGGAATAACACCACCCAGACCGCAAGCGTCCAGCTTGCTGCTCACAGCGTCTTGAGGGACGTTAGACCAGGGGAAATCGGCCTCGATGCCGCCATCACTCTCGTCTGAACCATTTTCTGTTGTGACAGCCACACTTGGGGCTTTACGGCCTTCAACAAGCGGCCGGTACGGGAGCGCCGAACCTGATTCAGTGCGACGAGGGAGATCAGGTCTGAGGAATCCAGCACTAGAGGAAAGCTGTTGGTCCTGGCGAGATGAGGTCATGTATGACGCGGGGGACGCATCGCCAGGATCGCCAGAGAGATCGGTACAGAATGGAGCACCGCTGTAGTAAATGATGGCACCATCCAAACGACGTCTCTTGCGGCGCGAAGATCCCGATCCATCCCATCGCGACTCTCCGTTGTTGCTATCTTCAACAACTCCATATGACGAGCCAACATCATCCAGTGAAGTCTGTTCGGCAGACGACGATTGGTGCACGAACATTGGCTTGTAGTGGAAAGTATCCGCCGATGGGATTGGATACTCCGGTTTCGACTGGTCGGACGAGTTCTTACCATATGAAGTGGAATAAGAACCATTCTTCCCCGAGCGTTGTTTGCGCTTCTTGCTCTGGTTGTCTAGTTGTGCCTCGTCGGACTCGTCGGAGCGACTGAGCTGAGAGGTATTACCTGAGCTGTCGCTACTGAACTTGGTTCCCTCAGTACCACCGCGCCATCTGATTTTCCGACCATCATGTGAAAGTTGAAATTTCGTGCTCTTCTCAGACACTGCACTCCTGATGTAATCGGGGGCAACGTTGAGCATGTGCAATTGAGCCATATTGCAAAGCAGGTTCAAGTAAACCCAGCCATCAGCATCCGGAGACACATCGCCATCGCTCATCAGCGCCGTGAGATGGGGAGGGGCGAGGCCCAAGTGACGAATGTAGTCCATATTGGCGGTTGGGTTTTGCATGCGATCCGGGTCGAGATCGAGCGGTCTGGTGGGACGCTGCTCTGGCGGCGGCGGATCCGGCGGCGAAGTGCTGCTTGCATCTGCCGCGGTCGCCCAATTGCCACCAGAATCCCGTTGATCGCCATTCGAGTTTGATGATTCACCATCTTTGGCGACATTCTTCTTCCCGTCGGATGCAAGTATGGGAGCCTCGCGGGAAGGCTCGAGGTATCCGGCGGGCACATTAGAGGGCCCGTGATGAGTGGTGGTGTTGCCGGTTGTCGGCTCCACCATAATCGGGGCGTATGAGGCGATGTTTGCTGCGGACATGGGCTGCGGACGAGCGAGATTCCGTCCGCTGATTCTACCCGTGAAGATCTGCTCCAGCCGACGAACAATCAACTTCTTCCGGTCTTTTTCCGTCAAAACCATATGTCGCGGGTATAATCCCTCTGGAATGTCCTTCAGGTAATTCTCCACCTTCTGGTCCGATGTCTTGGTTCTGGAGCTAATGGATGGCCGGGCGAGGTGTGTGCCAGATGAGTTTGCCCCAGTTGACATCGAGGCATATGCACTGTCAACCGGTCTCGAGTGAGAGCCTGAAGAAGACGATGCATGCTTCGAGACGTAACCAGAACCTGAATGCAAATGAGTGTTGTGCCTCGACTTCTTTCGAGACGATGAAGCTTCGGCGCTGGGGGTACTGCTCTCCAAGCCAGATGCAAACTCGCGTAATGTACTCTCCAGTTCTCTCTTCTTCCGCTTGGGAAGCCCATGGACTTTGATTTCGAACAACTTGTCTCTTTTCATCAATTCTGGTCCTTTTTGCTTGTAACGCTTCAATTCGTCCCTCAGCCTCTTGATCTCAACCGTCAAATCGTCGATTACGCTTCGATAATCGTCAGCGCTGCTACTGTGCGTGGCACTCGGCTTGCTGGCCCCAATCATCATTCCGTTCATTGGTGGTCTCAGATGCGTCGGGTAGGCGGAGGGTTTCGCGTCGTCGTTGGAGGAATCGCTCTCTTTCTGAAAGAACGGGGGATCGACTGAATCTTGAGTTAGACCTTCTCCCAAAAAGGCGGCTCAAGGGCGCTTACCGTCCATTGCGCCAGCATACGTTGTCGTGGGATTCTCATTATTTTGATCGAACCATTTCTCCGGGTCGCTAGGGCCGGTATTGTGGCTCTCGCCAGAAGACTGTCTGTTAGGTGATGATGACGACTCCGGGCTGGCAGCGGCCAGGGCTCGCGTCAACGCAGCTTTCTCAGTTGCTTCGTGTGCTAATCGGTGGTTGCGCAGTGTGATTGAATGCTCAGGCGAACTTCGGCGTGGTAGCGGGTGTCCCTTCGGCGACTTCGGTGGGCGCCCGCCTTCAGACGTAGGCTGGGCGTCGGGCATCTTGGGCACCTCAAGACGCCTAGCTGAATTGGCAGATTCTGCGTCGGTGCTCGCGTTGCTATGCGAAGTATTCAGGCGACATGGAGTCGGAGTTCGGGTTGTCGTTGTGCAAGCCGTTTTGTCGGTAGTGACCACTTCGATGAAGTGGATGATGGGGGGAATGTTGATGCTGGATTTCGGGAGGATACTGTTTGTAGGCTGTGGATTAGTTGGTGTTGGATAGCCGCTCAAGTGTTGGACCCTGAAATTGTGTAGGTGCAAGAGTGTATATGTCAAGTGGGCAGGTAGGCTGTGATTGGTCGAGGCATCGATCGATCGATCGAATGCTGGGAAAAAGGTATGACGACAACCTCCGTCAGGAGCCGACACGGTGAGAGGGTAGCACTCACATTAAGAGGAGAAACACGCACAGTGTAAGACTGCAGCTAATTTCAATCCTGAGGAGCAATGTGTTTCCACGGCCCGTTTGTCGTTCTGCCGCGCAGTTCGCGATGCGTCGCGAAAGCTAAGAAGCTCAGCTCTGAGTGAGGGTTGAAGAGAGTAAGTGGTGTTGGTGTTGGTGGTTCGAGAGGAGCAGCCCGCTCTCGTGACCTTTTGCCACCGAGGCCGCGACTTTGTTCCTCGAAGGACAGCGGTCTTGTTGGGAAGAAACTTGAAGAGACGATTCGTTTCGCAGGACAGCTAAGTATCTCTTGTTGGCGACGCAGGGCAGGGCAGGCGTCTGACTTGTGGGTAATGGCAAATACAGAGCCCAGGGCTCGAGGAAGAAAAACATGTCTGTCGCCGGGATAAGAGCCAAAATGTATGGGGTGAGGGCACGTTCACGTCGGTCGGGTCGCTGGTTGAATGGTGCGGGGCGGACAAGGTATGGACCCACAGCAGCTCGCAAGCTGCTTGGTCTGATCTCCAGGACCTG